TGGATTCGTTAACTTTTACATTTTGTGGATTCATTGCATTTTAAATTTAGTGGATGCGTTAACTATTACATTTAGTAGATTCTTTAATTTATGCATTTTGTAAACAAATAAGCTTTAGCAAACTGTAAATGTGTTGCCACTCATTTTAGTAAATGAAGTATTCAAATCTATTCATAAAGTTTACAAACCCTTAGACAAATTTGATAATAATAAACCAGTTTGCGTTGTGGTTGAATTTTAGTCGTTGTTTGATATTTATTTAAGTCACTCAGGTTTATATGACAACCTGTCACCCGTCTATGACAACCTGTTGCCTGCCTATGACAACAGTTGCCTGCCTATGACAACCTGTCGCCTGCATATGACAACCTGTCACCCGTCTATGACAACCAGTTGCCTGGCTGACTATGACAACCTGTCACCCGTCTATGACAACCAGTTGCCTGGCTGACTATGACAACCTGTCGCCTGCCTATGACAACCAGTTGCCTGGCTGACTATGACAACCTGTCGCCTGCATATGACAACCTGTCACCCGTCTATGACAACCAGTTGCCTGGCTGACTATGACAACCTGTCACCCGTCTATGACAACCAGTTGCCTGGCTGACTATGACAACCTGTCGCCTGCCTATGACAACCAGTTGCCTGGCTGACTATGACAACCAGTTACCTAGCTGACTATGACAACCTGTCACCCGTCTATGACAACCAGTTGCCTGGCTGACTATGACAACCTGTCGCCTGCCTATGACAACCAGTTGCCTGGCTGACTATGACAACCAGTTACCTAGCTGACTATGACAACCTGTCACCCGTCTATGACAACCAGTTGCCTGGCTGACTATGACAACCTGTCGCCTGCCTATGACAACCAGTTGCCTGGCTGACTATGACAACCAGTTACCTAGCTGACTATGACAACCTGTCACCCGTCTATGACAACCAGTTGCCTGGCTGACTATGACAATCTGTCGCCTGCCTATGACTACCAGTTGCCTGGCTGACTATGACAACCAGTTACCTAGCTGACTATGACAACCTGTCACCCGTCTATGACAACCAGTTGCCTGGCTGACTATGACAACCAGTTACCTAGCTGACTATGACAACCTGTCACCCGTCTATGACAACCAGTTGCCTGGCTGACTATGACAACCAGTTACCTAGCTGACTATGACAACCTGTCACCCGTCTATGACAACCAGTTGCCTGGCTGACTATGACAACCTGTCACCCGTCTATGACAACCAGTTGCCTGGCTGACTATGACAACCTGTCGCCTGCCTATGACAACCAGTTGCCTGGCTGACTATGACAACCTGTCGCCTGCCTATGACAACCAGTTGCCTGGCTGACTATGACAACCTGTCGCCTGCCTATGACAACCAGTTGCCTGGCTGACTATGACAACCTGTCACCCGTCTATGACAACCAGTTGCCTGGCTGACTATGACAACCTGTCGCCTGCCTATGACAACCAGTTGCCTGGCTGACTATGACAACCTGTCGCCTGCCTATGACAACCAGTTGCCTGGCTGACTATGACAACCTGTCGCCTGACTATGACAACCTGTCGCCTGCCTATGACAACCTGTTGCCTGCCTATGACAACCTGTTGCCTTGCTGACTATGACAACCTGTCGCCTGCCTATGACAACCTGTCATTTGACCATGACAACCAGACAAGGTCTGTGACTGCCAATAACATAGTTGAGTATTGCTAAACTCCGAATGTGTCTCTCGGTATTGAGCTTCGTCACAGCTCTTCTATCATACTCTCATTCTGCATTCTCACAACTCCGGACTCATTCTCATACTTGTGGTCTCATTCTCATACTTGTGGTCTCATACTTGTGGTCTCATTCTCATACTTGTGGTCTCATACTTGTGGTCTCATTCTCATACTTGTGGTCTCATTCTCATACTTGTGGTCTCATTCTCATACTTGTGGTCTCATTCTCATACTTGTGGTCTCATACTTGTGGTCTCATTCTCATATTTGTGGTCTCATTCTCATAGTTCTGAGCTTATCCCCATAGCTCTCATCTTGTCAAAGTTCTAGAACTAAACCTAACTTCAGTCTCGCAGCTTCATACACCGGTGACCCTTGAACTTTGAGCAATTTTTAAGGCAACCTGGCAACTGCCCAGAACACGACCAGGTTTTTTTATCTATTCCAGGCCAAATTCGACGTTAATAATTCACACCGGACAATTTATCCGGGTGCTGATTTGTCCGGAATGCGGAGCTTCGACTCCCAAAGACGTTGTCCGCTAATCAAGCTAACACATCCTGTTTCACGCTTAGCGTGGATGTAAATATTCGACAAACGTTTTTCCAAAAAAAAAAACTTTTTACATGAAAAACTAAATCCATCGAAATAGCCAGAAACTTATAAAGATTGTGTGCCGCATAAAGATTGTGTGCCTCGTCGATTGTTGTTATTGCATGACGTCAAGGGTCTGTGAGAACTCGGGGGAGGGGGGAGGGGAGTAATACACAGACGAAACAACATACTCTCTACAATGTATCAATATTTCCGTGTAGAAGAAAGGTTTCACTTCCTACCCAAAGCTTGTCGGTCTTTTTATCAGACTAGCCGAACCGGCCAGGCCTTGCACTGGCATTTGAGGTAAAAATTATTTGTGAAGGGTCGTGACTTATGTTCTCATTAAGCAAATTATTATTATACCATGAGCTGCCTGGTGTTTTGAAATTTATAAAATATTAAATTAGAAGTCTGTATGTAAATATGGTCGTTTGTGAAAATATAAATACAAACGCAAAAACCAACGCGAAAATGAACGCAAACATAAACGCATTCAGTTACAACTATCAAGGTTATGATTGCTATTATGTGTGTTTTAACTTTCACGTGTATGGTGGCTAGTATGTGTGTTTTAACTTAAATTTGTGGTTTTGTAGTCTGCACGTTTTTCGCGCCAATATACATTTCTCATTAGATCACGTGAGTTTAATTAAAACAACGACCATTAGGAAGTAACTTTCACAACCCGCCGTCCTTTAACCCCCCCCCCCCCCCCCCCACACACACACATATGTCTCGTGACAGGTCATGCTAGATTCGAAACAAAACGCCATTTAAACGACTAGCTCTAGAATCTGCTATCCGCCCCACCTAAGCTGAACAAATTTCTAAAAACAAAATGTATTCTAAAAGCGTTTTTCAATAGTTAACCTGCGTCTAATAATTAACCTTTTTTTTCAAGTGTTAATGTATATTAATTACCTCTCTTGCTGCTGTTTTCATTACAGTTGTCTCCCTTTAGGAATTAGATCATTTGTTTCCCTTTGCCGGAGACGGCTGAACGTGTGATACCATTGTCGGGTTGCGGGAATTCCCTCGAGGCGCGCGCGAGGATAGCGCAATGCTTGCCCTTTAGCTTTCGGAAATTCCCACAAAATGGCGTTAATTCGCACCTCTCTGGGTTTCACATTTCAATTTAAACACACACATGCAATTCCACGAACGCGCACACACGCGCAGTCATAAGAATTAAAGAACCGTTTCTTTTAAAAACAGTTTATGCTTGAAATAATAATTTAATTTTAATTCTAAATTACAAGCTTGTGTTCAATGGGATTTTCCGGTGTTTTTTTTTGGTGCTGGTTTTTTTTTTTTTTTTGTGTATAGAAATGTTTGATAATCAGAGTTTTTGTGTTTATCAGACGTCCAAAATTTCAGTATGCTGTCACTTCTGTAATACGCACCCTGTCCATCCATTAATGCGCACCTTGTTCTTCCAGTAATGCGCACCTTGTCCTTCCATTAGTTGAAAATAAATTCGTACGCGTTTTTGAAAAATCGGAAAAATCGTACAGTACTACTTTCTGTCACCGGACCGGAATTTACTCAAAATTTGACAGAAAACAGAGAATTAGATCTTTTACGTACATGTCAAATTTCGTCTCTCGTACTGAAACACTACTCAAGTTATAGGCTTTTGAGAAGCCGAAAATTGAATAAGTTCCATGTCCGGTTATCGGAAATCGCTGAAAAGTTAATACAGAACTACACATTTGATATAATACTTGTATATGAGGTTTCGTCAACCTAGCTGTAACGGTACAAACAGACAGACACATACGCACAGACACACAGACACATACAAACACAGATACACACAGACACAGACACACACAGACACAGACACACACAAACACACACACACACATACACACACAAACACACACACATACGGATATAAATTGCAAAACAAAGTTTTTCCGACTCAGGGAGGTGTAAAGCGAGATTTATGAGTATCTCGATTTTGATTTTTTGCACACTTACACAGAGGCGTAGCGACCCTTCCCGGCGCCCGGGGACATACTTTCAATTTGGCGCCCCCCTCGGGAGCAAATTTTCGATTTGCACCCCCCCTCGAACTTTTCATTTGCACCCCCCCCCCCCTCAAACTGTCAATTTGGCGCCCCCCCCTAAGGTCGGCGCCCGGGGACATATGTCCCCCCCCGCCCCCCCCTCGCTACGCCTCTGCACTTACAGTTCTTCCTCTGTACTTCACATAAGAGAAAGTTAAAAATGTAACTAACCAAGGGATACAACCATGGAATGTATCCATAAAAATCTATAAAAATGTAAAGAAATTCATTATCAATACAACATTATTTTCAGTTATTGTATATAATACAAGTATAATGCATGTTACAAGATTTTGTTATATCTTTTTTAAAACCTTATATATCTTAGATATATTTTATTGCAAACCTAAATAAACGAACATTAACAGAATTTAAACAATTTTCTTTTAAATGATAAAAGTTCACTTCAAAAGTGTTCTGCCATTTAAAAATAAAGGTTCTCAAACATATTGACTATATTTATTAAAAAAAAAAAAAAAAAAAAAAAAAAATTATTTATACAATAAGTCACTAAGTAATCATCAGTGAACCGAAGTTTACTTTTACGCTGTTTTTTTTTTTTAACTCTAAAATTGTATTTTTTTTGTTTCAGATCTGTCCCATGATGTTCAAGACTTCCTTGTTCACTCTACATCTCTGTGTGTGTCTGCTGATCGGGTAAGGATTAGAACTCGGTCCGTTGGCGTGGTGACCGGACGCGTTGGCCGCTTGACTAGCCGATCGATGGGGGACGATTTACGTCATGTCAGTCACACAACCCGGGGGGGGGGGAGTCGTTTGAACTAATGTCCTTGACCTTTAGCGAGGTGTTAATGGGTTAAATTTGGTTTCAAGCTGACGTTAAACCTGGCGTTAAACGGTGTGTTGAACGGTGTGTTAAACCTTGATACAGACGCATTTATCTTGGGGGTGTGGACGCTTCGGACTGGGCGATCCTTCTCTGGGTGGCGCAACAAGGGTTTTTGATGTTTGGGAGTTAGAAGTTGACGTCATGCGTGCTAGCAGGTGGCAAGGTGTACTCGGTGACATTTTTAGTCGTGTAGAGTGGGTCACATGGGTCGGGTCTGACAGAGTGGGTCACATGGGTCGGGTCTGACAGAGTGGGTCACATGGGTCGGGTCTGACAGAGTGGGTCACATGGGTCGGGTCTGACAGAGTGGGTCACATGGGTCGGTGACATTTTTACTCGTGTAGAAATAGTTGTTAGAATATAAGTGATAAGTTATACTTTTTGTGATGGTTTATACTTTTAGTCATGTGTTGTACTTTTTGTGATGGTTTATACTTTTAGTCATGTGTTGTACTTTTTGTGATGGTTTATACTTTTAGTCATGTGTTGTACTTTTTGTGATGGTTTATACTTTTAGTCATGTGTTGTACTTTTTGTGATGGTTTATACTTTTAGTCATGTGTTGTACTTTTTGTGATGGTTTATACTTTTAGTCATGTGTTGTACTTTTTGTGATGGTTTATACTTTTAGTCATGTGTTGTACTTTTTGTGATGGTTTATACTTTTAGTCATGTATTGTACTTTTTGTGATGGTTTATACTTTTAGTCATGTGTTGTACTTTTTGTGATGGTTTATACTTTTAGTCATGTGTTGTACTTTTTGTGATGGTTTATACTTTTAGTCATGTGTTGTACTTTTTGTGATGGTTTATACTTTTAGTCATGTGTTGTACTTTTTGTGATGGTTTATACTTTTAGTCATGTGTTGTACTTTTTGTGATGGTTTATACTTTTAGTCATGTGTTGTACTTTTTGTGATGGTTTATACTTTTAGTCATGTGTTGTACTTTTTGTGATGGTTTATACTTTTAGTCATGTATTGTACTTTTTGTGATGATTTATACTTTTAGTCATGTGTTGTACTTTTTGTGATGGTTTATACTTTTAGTCATGTGTTGTACTTTTTGTGATGGTTTATACTTTTAGTCATGTGTTGTACTTTTTGTGATGGTTTATACTTTTAGTCATGTGTTGTACTTTTTGTGATGGTTTATACTTTTAGTCATGTGTTGTACTTTTTGTGATGGTTTATACTTTTAGTCATGTACTTCCGATGATGTGTTACACATAGTGATGTTTTATACTTCCAGTGATGTGTTACATATAGTGATGTTTTATACTTTTAGCGATGTGTTGTACTTTTGGAGTTGTGTTATATTTTTTGTGATGGTTTATTTTGGTGATACGTTGTTTTAGTGATGGGTTATTTTGGTGATGGGTTATTTTGGTGATGTGTTATTTTGGTGATGTGGTTTTTGTTATGTACTTTGCTTATCGTGTTTGCGTCTTTTCATCGGTTGAGTGTTGTGCTATCAACCTTTTCGATGAGCTATCATCTTTCTGACGGTAGTACATCTAAACGTCTGTTGATCTAAGTTAAATGGGTGGGTCTGATGGTGTGGGTCACATAGGTTGGGGGACATGGGTTGGGTCACATGGGTTGGGGGACATGGGTTGGGTCACATATGTTGGGTCATATTAAGTGGGCCTGATGGTTTGGGTCACATGGGTTGGGGGACATGGGTTGGGTCACATATGTTGGGTCACATAGGTTGGGTCACATAGGTTGGGTCACATAGGTTGGGTCACATGGGTTGGGTCATATTAAGTGGGCCTGATGGTTTGGGTCACATGGGTTGGGTCATATTAAGTGGGCCTGATGGTTTGGGTCACATGGGTTCGGCCTGACAGAGTGGGTCACATTGAATGGGTCTGTTGGGGTGGGTCACATGGGTCGAGTCTGATGGAGTGGGTCACATGGGTTTTGTCTGACAGAGTGGGTCACATGGATTGGGTCCGAATGAGAATGGTCTGATAAGTAAAATGTTATTAGAAGAAACAGTAAAAAATTATGTTTTAACGCAAGCTTTATTCCAATCAAAACACGAAGTACACGGAAGACAGAAATACACACAGTGTGTATGTCGATATGTCTGGTCTCGTTGTGATGTCTTTACACGGCTGTGTCAGCACACATACACACACACATGCATAAAGGCCTAAACACATAAATACACACATAACACATACACACACATTCGCATACACTCATACATTATATAAAATTAAGCATACATATAACATCTTACAAGATTACAGACTGCTGACACACACTCACACACCCACACGCATCCAGCTACATACAAACACATATACCAACAGGCTGCTCAACGACACACATACACACATAAAGACATCCAGCTACATACAATCACATATGCCGGCAGCTATACAGACTAGAATGATCATGTGTCTGAAGAAGAAAAAAATTGTGTTGATTATCTTAGCATGGAAATATTCAGCCCCCAATTTTAGACGAGTTATCGAAATCTGGCGCGGAGAGGGGGGGGAGGTGGGAGGGGCTTAGGGCGGAGATTGCCGTGGAGATTTCTCGGAGAAATCAAAAGAAAAATAAATAGATTCGGAAATACGTTTGAAACTTAACTCAAAATTCGTAATGAATAAATGTGTGCGCATTTTGTTTTAGGGAAATGTTTGATATTGTAATCTTGAGTCTGGTCAAGCTAGAGAAAGGGGTGGGGGTTGGGGGGGGGGGGGGGTAGTGAAAGCAAGGGGGAGGGGTTGAGTTAAAATATTACTAAAAAAATTAGAAGATAAATATCTATCCTATTATCCATTCATTTATTTTATATTTAATCATTTATCCATCCACCCATCCGTCAATTTATCACTTCACCAATCCATCTACCAATCCATCCATCCACTCATCAATCCATCCATCCACCAATCCATCCATCCACTCATCAATCCATCCATCCACCAATCCATCCATCCACTCATCAATCCATCCATCCACCAATCCATCCACCAATCCATCCACCAATCCATCCACCAATCCATCCATACACTCATCAATCCATCCACAACGTATTCATCTATGTACGTTTTCTACCACAGGCTCGTGACGTCAGCGAATGACCTTGAGAAGTCCTTACAGAAACGTTCCAGCAGCCGACAGAAGTTCAGGAGTTTAAGCAAGTCACAGAGTCCCAGGAGTTCTAGCCGGGTGTTTGTTGCAAGCTTTCCCGCCTACTCGAGGATCTACGCCAAAAGACCTTTTGATGAAGTAGGAAGTGGATTGATAGGGAAAAGGTCTTTTGATGAAGTAGGAAGTGGATTGATAGGGAAAAGGTCTTTTGATGAAGTAGGAAGTGGATTGATTGGTAAAAGACCTTTTGACGAAATAGGCAGTGGGTTAATTGGGAAAAGACCTTTTGATGAAATCGGTAGTGGGCTAATTGGTAAAAGACCATTTGACGAAATAGGAAGTGGGCTAATTGGGAAAAGACCTTTTGACGAAATAGGAAGTGGGCTAATTGGGAAAAGACCTTTTGACGAAATTGGCAGTGGGCTAATTGGTAAAAGACCTTTTGACGAAATCGGCAGTGGGCTAATTGGTAAAAGACCTTTTGATGAAATCGGTAGTGGGCTAATTGGTAAAAGACCTTTTGACGAAATTGGCAGTGGGCTAATTGGTAAAAGACCTTTTGACGAAATCGGCAGTGGGCTAATTGGGAAAAGACCTTTTGATGAAATTGGTAGTGGGCTAATTGGTAAAAGACCTTTTGACGAAATCGGCAGTGGGCTAATTGGTAAAAGACCTTTTGACGAAATCGGCAGTGGGCTAATTGGTAAAAGACCTTTTGATGAAATTGGCAGTGGGCTAATTGGTAAAAGACCTTTTGATGAAATCGGTAGTGGGCTAATTGGTAAAAGACCTTTTGATGAAATTGGCAGTGGGCTAATTGGCAAAAGACCTTTTGACGAAATCGGCAGTGGGCTAATTGGTAAAAGACCTTTTGACGAAATTGGAAGTGGGCTAATTGGCAAAAGACCTTTTGACGAAATTGGCAGTGGGCTTATTGGTAAAAGACCTTTTGACGAAATAGGAAGTGGGCTTATAGGAAAACGCCAAGAGTCGTAAAAAAGTGTGCCCTAGTTTCTTAAGATGTGGCTAAAATAGCCAATAAAATCAATCTATTTCCTTAACCAATCAAATCAATCTATTTCTTCAAGCAATCAAACCAGTCTGTCGATAAAACAGTTACTTTGTGCAGACCAATCCAAATTTTAAATCCATTACATTTACTGACTAATTTAAAACATTTTACTTACAATTTTATTTTTCACAATTTAAAGTATGTTTTTAAAAAATATACCACCTGAAGCTTAAAAAATGATGTTCTACCTTATTTGGCCAAATTTTCGTTTCCCAAAGGTCAAATGAAAACTTTTCTCCCATCTTTTATTTTTTGTTCCACGAACATGTTCACCTGTTACAAGCCAGTTGACTTCCGTCTCCCTGACCCTTGACCTTTCACCTCCGCACTCAAGCTGTGTCTACATGTCCGTTCACCGATAACTTAGCACTTCTTTTATGTTTTAGCTACACCTAAATAGTAACAATTCGGGCTTACCTCTCCTCCCCACCACCCTAACCCCCTCCCTTTTCACTAGTTCCAGCCCCCTTCCCCATGTTATTCCTCCGTCTCTCTCCCCCCACCCCCCCCCCCTCACCTCCTTATTGAACATCGCTTACCTTTATGTTGATAGCAAACGACAAGGAAAATGTCCCTGGGTAGCGCTGCAGTGATAAGAGATGTCAAATTTGTTTTATTGATAAAAATAATTTTGGAATGTATCTGTGTATATTACTCAAAATAAAATCTTATCATTTGTGATTAAACTTGACACGAGAATAACAAAAATAAAACTTGTTATTGTTAAATTATGGTCAGTACTGTTCTTTATAGAATCGTGTGTTCTATTTTTTTATTTGTATCTCTGCACTTAACTGAGGTCTACAAATGTAATTGTAGCTCCCATGCACGATATAAGCTTAGCTCACAGCTCAGACCTTAGCTCTGATTTCAGCTCTGATCTGCCCACAGACCTAATTTTATTTCTGAGCTTTGAATTAAGCTGGGAAAAAGCCTTCAAGAGCTGTCAGAAATTAAGATTGAGTTATACCTCACAAAGGGAAGTAACAATGAAAATATAAGTTCGGCGAGTCGGTCAAAGGGAGACAACAATGAAAATATTATCTAGTATGGCGAGACGGTCAAGGGGAGGCAACAATGAAAATATTTTAGTTGAAATTGAGATTAAATTGAGGCAAGGGAGATAATAATGAAAATAATTTCGGGTTGTAAAACTAAGGGAGTACCATCTCGGGGGTCAAAAATAAAAATATTTTGTTTATTTCGCTGTTGAGGATATGACAAATAAAAATGTGTTGACCAATTTCACAGGCTGGTTTGTTGTTTGTTGATGGTCATATGAGAGAGAGAGAAAATATTAAATAGAAAAACACAAACAATTGTACAAAACCACACGTCTTATATAAGGCATAGTGAACCAGCAATGCAATATATCCGGTGATATCTTCTGTATTTCAACACCTTATTACTCACAGACCTTTTAGAACAGCTGATTTAATTTAATAAAAAAATAAAAAAAATTATTACTAGTAATAATGTTTAATATGAACTTTTTAATCAAACTTTATTTGATTAAAAGTGGCTTAGGTGAAATTTAAGAGGACCAATAAGTGTCTTTCACTAGTGGAGGGGTCGGCAACCTTTTGAAGCGGAAGAGCCAAAAGTAACAATTTTCAAAATTTCCCTGATTTAAAAGAGCCACTAACATTTTTTTTTATTTCAAATTTTTTTTTGTTAAGATTATTAGTATTTGTTCAAGGAGCTGGAGAGCCGCATCTTGATATCAAACAGCCGCATGCGGCTCGCGAGCCGCAGGTTGCCGACCCCTGCACTAGTGATTTTCCTCACAAAACCAGCCAAGCATTGCAGGTTTACTCATACTACTAAATGTAGGTGTTCTATCAATGTTACTTTTATCTTCACACAATTATATTTAAGTTTCATTTGAAATGTGTACTGAGGTAAATACATTAATCTTAATTTATATTGACTTTATATAGTTTTAACACAAAAATAAGGAAAATAAATTATTTTTAATTTGGCTTCTAGTGATTACACCTTTAACAGTTTGCTTTTGCATAAGATTACATCTGAAAAAAAATGTTTCAAAAAAAGATAGAAGAAATAAATTTTGCTGTGATTAAAAAAAGAAAAAAAAAAAACTAGACTTAATGTGAATTTTGGTGGTGGCATATCACCTTCGTAAGTCGTGGTAACAGAAACAGATGAACTCTACAGCACCTGCACTAAGGAACCCCTTATGATATGTTTTAATTAAACACAACAAGGCGAGCACCTAACCACGAAAAAATACAGGAAAACAAAACGTCAACAGAGATTAAATTAGATAAAAAGGGAAGTAACAAATAAAAATAAAACGTACTTATCACAACTAATATTCTCCCTTTAAGAAAAATTACAAAATATTAAAAAAATAATTTAAAAATACTAGCTACATATTATCATTATACCGTTTAATCTCCGTATTTGATTTAAGGATTAACAATAACCTAATAATGTTTGAATGATTGTAACTAGCTAATAAAAATGATTATAGTCCAAGTTTCTTGAAAGAAAAGAAAATGATTTCTTTAAATATGTAATAATGAATGTTCATTAATATTTCGTTAGAGAACAAGGTTTCTGTTTATAGTTTAATTAAAACTGATTCACTATTACAAAAAATATAAATATTTGACATCCGAAGCAAATCGGTTCAATTAAATTGGACTTTTTCTTCTTTTTTGCCAGTTTCTAGTTATGTTTAAGTCAAAACATAGAGTCAAGTTCAATTTTAAAAAATAATGTAAATACTTTAGACCTGTTTTTTTAGTTTTGTTAAAGTTTTTTTATATAAAAAAAATTATATGCTAAAAAAAAGTTTCGCTTTTTTAAAAGAAATACACTAATTAAATTATTAATACGAATCGAAGCATAAAATATAACTAGGTGATCCAATTTTTTAATTCATCCGGTGTATTTGACATAGTCACAAATTTGTGTCGTCACTAGTTGGGCTAAATTTGTTACAGGATTTGAATTGTAATTTTTTCCAATCCAAACGGATGTTGTTGTTACAAGTCGATAAAGCGGAAATAGATCAACCGGAAGTTGTATAGACTAAGTAGATTGTGTTACACAAGTTGGAATACCACGGTAATGGCTGCCTGAGGTAAAATATTACAGCAACTAGAATCTTTCTTCATGTCGCGTGATCTGGGTGTCAGGGATCAGTACAATGGGTATACCACACGCCATCAGGATGGTACCACCACACACCATCAGGATGGTACCATCCCTTCCCGTCGTGATGGTACCATCTCGTCCTGGCGAGGCGTTAGTAGCACAGAATCCCATGATAGTAGAACTAGTCGCTACCATTATACCAACACGTCGTATGGTGGCAACTCCTTATCAAATTACGATGGTGATTTTTCCTTAGTTCAGAATATTTTTCAACCCAATGTTGATGACAGGGTTACGTTTAACGAGGAAGATGTTATTTCATCCAACCAAGTCGGTAGTGTCGAGCTGTACAATGATGGCGGACTACCATTCCATTATGATGTGAGCATTCAACCCCATCTTCAAAGTATATTTCTACACCGCCATGATGTGTTTGATGGTAGACAGGATGGTAGTTTATTTGTCAGGAATGATGGTAAGGCCCATCGTGATGGTAGACCACTGCCCGTGTACGATGTGCAACCAGCCAGACACAGAGACCACCCCACAGCCTGGACTGAGCATGAACTTGTGCCTAGCAGACGACCCTTTCCAGAACCAGACGACCCATGGGTCCAAGGTCAAGGGTACCCGTTACCGGAATTTTTCCAAGGTCAGCAAGATCGTAACCAGAGCAACAACAGTCCTACACGGATGTTCCGGCAAGGCCCGCCTCGTTTTCCGGCTAATTTCCCCCAGCCGGAAAAACCGGGATGGAACAACAACGCAACTTCCGCCGAGAGTTCTGAAACTTCTTCTGAAAGCAGTTCCGGATCCAGCGAAGGCAAAACGTCTGACGTCAGTTCCGGTTCTTCAAGTTCTTCCGGGAGCGACAAAAGCGGATCCAGCGATTCCTCCAAAACGTCATCCACCACCAGTTCCGAGAGCCGGAAAAAGAAGAAAAAACGCGGGTACTTCCGGCGGATGTGGAAATCGTCCCCCGAGGAACACCTCCTGCTCAAGATGGCGGTCTGGTTCCCGATCGGCCTCGTCTTATCCTTTGCTTTCTACTTCATGGTAATCGATAAACTCAACATGAAGCCGGCGCTCAAACAGTTCATCGGGGCTGTCATTGGTTTCCTGCTGTCACTGACATTTGCTGTCAGTGTCCAGATGAGGTGTGTCATGACGCTCGTCATACCCACCTTCCTCGGCAAGGCGGGGCGGTCGTACTTGTCGGCCTTCGCGCTGGTGTACCTAATTAACGGGCCAATTACCAACATCGTTGATAACGGGAAGGTGAGTTGATTGGGGAGAAAGTGCAGGCACGGGTCATGTACTACATGGCATGACAGATTATTAGTATCTTTCAAACACTTCTGCTGCGGAGGGGGGATGGGGGGGGGGGGAAGGGGGGGGGGGGGAGTTGCTCCCTCGAAGCGTGTTCACCGCCCAGGGACAAGTAGGAAAAAAGTAATTAAAATAAAAAGTATATTCTAATAGTAACTTTAACAGCGTCCCCCCCCCCTACCGGAAGTTCAATGTGCTACCTTCCTTCACCCCCCCCCCCCCCACGGAGAAATATATCTGAATGAAAACTTGATGATTAAATTTTAGTAGTCATGACAAATGGTATTTTGATAGCATGACTTTAAGTAACTTTGAGTGCATGAATTGACTAAATGTATGTTTGATTGCATGACTGATTGATTTAATAATGGATTGTATGTGTGCTTGAATTTAATGTCAGAATGAATGACATGACTAATTGAATGTTACGCTAAATGACTGATTGATTTAATGACCGTATGATTGATTTAATAACTGATTGTACACCTGTAATTACATAAGCGTGATCATAGGGTTTACTTTGCGTAGGATAGTATGACTTTTGCGAGTGTAAAATTGTGGTCGAAGAATTGATCTAAGACAAAGTCTGAATGATTGTTAGCGAAGAATTATGTTCGAGTATTTGTGTGTGTGTGTGTGTTGGATTCTATGTACATTAATTCGAACCCCCACCCCATACCCCCCCCCCTTTTAAAAAAATAGCCTTGTCATTAATTTTTCATAAACTTGTCTTGAACTAATACCTAATAAACCTCTAAAAAACCTCCCTTGAACCTACACCCGAATCTCTGTGGGCGGGGCAGGAGATCGTGCGATCACTGACGTGCACGTCATCGCTGATGGCCAATCACACGAAGGAAAAGTGGAGGCTCCGTCTACATCCGGTGGAAAACGCTTTTGGTGACCTTGCCAAAGATGGCTTCCTCTTCAAAAAGGTGACTCGACGTGTCTGTCTGTCTGTCTGTCTGTCTGTCTGTCTGTCTGTCTGTCTGTCTGTCTGTCTGTCTGTCTGTCTGTCTGTCTGTCTGTCTGTCTGTCGTCCAGCGTTGTGTTGTCAGATGTAGAAATCTGGGGCAGAACTACCACACTGCCAGACCCCAATATGTGTGGGTGGAGGGCGTTTAGGGGGCCCAAAATGTGGGGGTGGAGGGCGTTTAGGGGGCCCCAAAATCCGACTAAAACATTTTTTTCCTTGCACCTTGGTAGTGGTTTTGTACTAAAAAAAAACATTTACTACAGTAGAGATTGCTATACACAAAATAACACACGTTGCTGCATAGATGAAAAAAGTATAGTGTGAAGAATAGGCAAACGTTCAAACCACTTTCATATTTTATTGCTCTTCTTTAAATATTCTAATATGGGTGTCCATAAAGCTCAATTACCAATTAACTCAACTCTTAAAATAAATAATTAAGAAAGAAAGCACAAAAGAAATTTCAAAAACCACAAACCAAACCACCACAATTGCAGGCAGCCAAGGCGATCGACAAGGCGTTTAAACCTCTGAGGGGCGAGATCGAATCCAACGAAGAAGAGAGTCAAAAGCTGCAAGAGGACATAAAGAAAGCCCAGAAGTTGAACGAGGAGGCGGAGAAAGCTGCTGTCTCTAAGGAGGGGGAGGGGAAGGAGAAGATCTTGGAAACTAATGAGGAGCTTGGTAATTAGGGAGTAATTAGTGTAATTAGTGTGATGTTTATCAGTTTTCATTGTGTGTTTTTGTCAGTGTTATGGTCAGCTGTGACATTTGACTACGTGTTACTCTGAAATATGACGTCAGTATGTGGGTAAGGCTAAACACATATACGTCTGTATGGGGGTACGTCTAATACAGGTGTACGTCTATATGTGGGTACGGCTAATACAGGTGTACGTCTATATGTGGGTACGGCTAATACAGGTGTACGTCTGTATGTGGGTACGGCTAATACAGGTGTACGTCTATATGTGGCTACGGCTACTAGATATGTACGTCTGTATGTGGGTACGGATAATACAGGTGTACGTCTATATGTGGGTACGGCTAATACAGGTGTACGTCTATATGTGGGTACGGCTAATACAGGTGTACGTCTGTATGTGGGTACGGCTAATACAGGTGTACGTCTGTATGTGGCTACGGCTACTAGATATGTACGTCTGTATGTGGGTACGGCTAATACAGGTGTACGTCTATATGTGGGTACGGCTAATACAGGTGTACGTCTGTATGTGGGTACGGCTAATACAGGTGTACGTCTGTATGTGGCTACGGCTACTAGATATGTACGTCTGTATGTGGGTACGGATAATACAGGTGTACGTCTATATGTGGGTACGGCTAATACAGGTGTACGTCTGTATGTGGGTACGGCTAATACAGGTGTACGTCTGTATGTGGGTACGGCTAATACAGGTGTACGTCTGTATGTGGCTACGGCTAATACAGGTGTACGTCTGTATGTGGCTACGGCTAATACAGGTGTACGTCTGTATGTGGGTACGGCTAATACAGGTGTACGTCTGTATGTGGGTACGGCTAATACAGGTGTACGTCTGTATGTGGGTACGGCTAATACAGGTGTACGTCTGTATGTGGGTACGGCTAATACAGGTGTACGTCTGTATGTGGGTACGGCTAATACAGGTGTACGTCTTATGTGCCTACTAAATGTGTACGTCTATGTTTTCTGAGCAGGTAAAAAAGTGGAGGCAGAGTGGGAGAAAAAACAGGAGCTTCGCTGTCAGGACATCTTTACTAAAGGTCAGCTTTTGATTGGTTCAATGGTTGTGACGTCAGAATGTACATTACATCAGGGCTTACCGTCTTGACTGAAATTTGATGCTTGATGTAAAAATAAAAATATTGTATATGTATGGTATATATATATATATATATATATATATATATATATATATATATATATATATATCACGGGGAGATAAAATATACTTCAAGCGAACTCTACTTCCCCTGCTTGTTGCAGGAGTTGTTCGGTGTGTAGAGGAGCTAGGAAAGCTACATGGTCGGTGCATGGACAAACTCTGGCTACTTGGCTACCTGTTTTGCTGGCCACTCAAGGTAAGCTGGTGGTGACTATGTTGTATGTCCATGGGATGGTGGTGACGATCTTAAATGTCAATGGGATGGCGATTACCATCTCATGTGTCCATGGGATGGTGGTGACCATGTCATATGTCCATGTTACGGTAATGATCACCTGTCTAGGCCTGTGATGGAAATATCTAGACAACGAGTGTGCATTGTTTCCCAAGGGAAATAATTTATCCAGATATTTGTGTTTTCCTTCTTGTTTTTATCTGAGAAGTTAGGTCACCCGCTAATTGTTTTATTTAATTGTGTATCACTACTTTGTTGACATGGTGGTATATCTCTTTTGATCTCTGGGATACTAGACCTAGAACACTGAATAGCTGACCTAACTACAAATACCCCTCCCTAAACCACCACATCCTTCCAACACCCCTCGCTAACCACCACCACCACCTCCATCCCTCCCAACCCCCCCCCCCCCCCACCTGTATTCCACTTCAAGCATCTCATCACCAGATCACCGCCTTCTGCAAGCTGATCACTCTGCTGCCCGGTGCCCTGGGCATGTCCTGCAGCAAGTTGAAGGTCGTGGAGCCAGGCTTTGGGCAGACGTACATTGCTGCCCGGGCAGTCATAGACGACATGGAGAAGGGCATGGAGGTCAGGCATATCACGTGACCCAACAAAAATAATTTAAATCCTCATTGGTCATCGCGCTAAGGTTCCTGTTTGGGCCTGACTATCCATACGGTTTACTGACGATAGCATCAAGGAGTAGGGTAAAAAAAAAGTATATTTTCTATACTGATGGTCCATGGTGCAAGTGAAGTAGAGTTCACCTGTTTCTAAGACCTCGGCATTTGAATGGATAGTGTTGTCAGTAATTTGCCCAGACGCTTTTACTTTCCATAACTTGAGATAGGTACCCGTTAGAAATGGGTGCGCAGGTAAATTCTACGGATTCGAACTCGAGCATTTCGGTTTAGCAGTCGTATACTCTACCATTCGATCATGCCGTACACTGTCTCAGATTTTAGTAAAAAAAGGCATGTACTGTCTCAGGTAAAAATGTCATGTACTGTCTCAGGTAAAAATGTCGCGTACTGTCTCAGGTAAAAATGTCGTGTACAGCCTCAGGTAAAAATGTCGCGTACTGTTTCAGGTAAAAATGTCGTGTACAGCCTCAGGTAAAAATGTCGCGTACTGTCTCAGGTAAAAATGTCGTGTACAGCCTCAGGTAAAAAAGTCATGTACTGTCTCAGGTAAAAATGTCGCGTACTGTCGCAGGTAAAATGTCGTGTACTGTTTAAGGTAAAAATGCAGTATAAAATTGTCGGTGACGTTGAGGCCGTCGACTACACCCCTGTGGAGGAAATGCGACAGGCGACCATCCAAGAAGTCACCCAAAAAGCTGACCTGATGAGTTTTCTGCTCTCCATCATCTCCTACATACTCACCTTCGCCTTCATCCTCATCTTCAAAAGTGCTTACGACTATAACAAGTGAGTAACTGGTTGAGGGGGGGGGGGGTGACAACAGCCTTTACCACAACAACAACAGCATTAGCCACAGCTACAACAACAGCATTAATCACAATAGCATAAACTACAGCAGCAACAACAGCATTAACTACAGTTAGAACAACGGTATTAACCACATCAACAGCATTAACCATAACAATACAACAGCTTAAACTACAGCAGCAACAACAGCATTAACTACAGTTAGAACAACGGTATTAACCACATCAACAGCATTAACCATAACAATACAACAGCTTAAACTACAGCAGCAACAACAGCATAAACCACAGCAACTGACAACATTAGACCCATACTTTGATTACAGCAACTCCTGTTAAAAAAAAGCCCTGCATGCAAACAGAAATATAAGCTCCGCCCACTTAACTTCAACGTTAACCTTGCACAATTTACTAAGTAAGAAACACAAATAGAATCCGTTAGCCACGCCTTTTTACCGTTTGTGCCACTCTTAAGAAACAACAATGAACCCAAAATCAACACCAAACCAATGACAGCAACAACCACGACTGACACCAACACCAACTACCAACACTAACAACCACCGACACCAACAACCACCACTGACACCAACACCAACTACCAACACTAATGAACTCCCTAACTACACAACTTATAAAAACTGTCCTCTCCCTCCCCCCCCCCCAACCCACACCTCTCCCCCTACCCTGATCAGGAAATACCTGACAGAGTTCAGCTTTGACAACATCTACGTCACACGATACTTCCGGCGCATCGATGCCAGACGGAAGGACAGGGAGAAGAAAACCTTGCTGCCACTCAAGAAATACGAGAGCAAAGACATCATCTTCCCGTCAGACAGAAGTAGGTTTAGTCACACAGGAGTAGGTTTAGTCAGACAGAAGTAGGTTTAATCGGACAGAAGTAGGTTTAATCGGACAGAAGTAGGTTTAATCGGACAGAAGTAGGTTTAATCGGACAGAAGTAGGTTTAATCGGACAGAAGTAGGTTTGGTCAGACAGAAGTAGGTTTAGTCCGACAGAGAAGGTTTAGTCGGACTGAAGTAGGTTTATGTGGACTAAAATAGGTTTCGTCGGACTGAAGTAGGTTTAGTCAGACAGAAGTAGGTTCGGTCGGACAGAAGTAGGTTTGGTCGGACAGAAGTAGGTTTGGTCAGACAGAAGTAGGTTTAGTCGGACTGAAGTAGGTTTATGTGGACTAAAATAGGTTTCGTCGGACTGAAGTAGGTTTAGTCAGACAGAAGTAGGTTCGGTCGGACAGAAGTAGGTTTGGTCGGACAGAAGTAGGTTTGGTCAGACAGAAGTAGGTTTAGTCGGACTGCTCCAAATGGGTTTAATCAGAGGATTAAAGGAAGTCTACCGCCCCTCCCTCACTCTGAACAAAATAGAACGTACATAGAAAATATATTACTTTTACCAGTGTCCACCCCCGCCCTGCAAGTTTCTTTCAAAAGCCCCCCCCCCTCCCAGCTGTAGCAAAATGTCTGAAAGAAACACTGGGATTAAGTCGTACTGCTCTACTGTGGTTTCAATCGTCGTCGCTACCAAAGTTTTATGGACATTTTAGTCACTTACTAGGCTTTCTTTTTATTGAATTTAAAAAACCAAATCTTTGTCATGTCATGTCATGTCATGTCATGTCATGTCATGTTACAGAGCTGACGGTGGCCGAGAAATCCAAGTTAAAAAGTGGCATAGCCAGGCTGTTACTCCGTGTCATCATCAGCGCAGTTATCTGTTATATGGATGGCCTTCTATATCAGGTAATGTTGGCCATTGTTATATGGATGGCCTACTGTATCAGGTAATGTTGGCCATTGTTATATGGATGCCCTTCTGTATCAGGTAATGTTGGCCATCGTTATATGGATGCCTTTCTGTATCAGGTAATGTTGGCCATTGTTATATGGATGCCCTTCTGTATCAGGTAATGTTGGCCATTGTTATATGGATGCCTTTCTGTATCAGGTAATGTTGGCCATTGTTATATGGATGGCCTTCTGTATCAGGTAATGTTGGCCATTGTTATATGGATGGCCTACTGTATCGGGTAATATTGGCCATTGTTATATGGATGGCCTACTGTATCAGGTAATGTTGGCCATTGTTATATGGATGGCCTTCTGTATCAGGTAATGTTGGCCATTGTTATATGGATGGCCTACTGTATCAGGTAATATTGGCCATTGTTATATGGATGGCCTACTGTATCAGGTAATGTTGGCCATTGTTATATGGATGGCCTACTGTATCAGGTAATGTTGGCCATTGTTATATGGATGGCCTACTGTATCAGGTAATGTTGGCCATTGTTATATGGATGGCCTACTGTATCAGGTAATGTTGGCCATTGTTATATGGATGGCCTTAAGTTTAAGGTAATGTTACTGTAATATTGGCCATTGTAACATCCATGGCCCGCTGTAATTTTGGCGACAGATATATTTATGGCTTAATGGTAGCTATATAGGATCGCTAATATACTTGTTTTCGTAAGTTCCAGAATATGATTATAATTATGTAAATCGCGCATTGATAGAAATATCCTAGACATTGTTGTATTTGAACTAGATCCTAGAACTTCTTGTATTTGACCTAGATCCTAGACATTGTTGTATTTGACCTAGATACTGGACATTGTTGTATTTGACCTAGATCCTAGACATTGTTGTATTTGACCTAGATCCTGGACATTGTTGTATTTGAACTAGATCCTGGACATTGTTGTATTTGACCTAGATCCTAGACATTGTTGTATTTGACCTAGATCCTGGACATCGTGTCAAGAAACAGTGCCGTAGAGTACCACCAGGAAGGTGAACACGTCATCAACATTAAGGTGAGAAATGGTTTTTATTTAACTGTACGTCTACTTGCTAACACCCCTCCCCCCCTCCCCCCCCCCCCCCCAAGGCTACATGTTGCTAAAATAAATCATCAAACAAGTGGTTGTAGCTATTCATATACATAGTCCCGCCGTTAACGATAAACCTAAAACTAGCCCTAAAATCATAAGTACCCCCCCTACTTTGGCCACAAGTTAACAGTAACAACTCACCTAGACTTTAGACTTAACATAACATATACGTAACCTAGATATTTTGCTTACACCCTAACCTACCCTTTAGACTAAACCTAAAGTAGACTAGAGGCAGAGACTTAATCTAACCTCGATCGTATGCTAAACCTTTATTTATTCTTATTTTAAAATATATCTACCACTTATACCAAACACATACGAGTAATAAGTTAAGTAAGTTATGTACCCTTTAGAACCTTACGATCCACGGAGCAGGTGAAGTAGAGCTCACGTGTTTCCGTGACCTCGGTATATGAAGGCCATTGTTATATGGATGGCCATCAGGTAATGTTGGCCATTGTTACCACACCAGTAAAACGTCCGGCTAATCTCTGCCCAGTCTCCCCTGCAGGTAGGAGGCAACGGTTTCATGAGCCCCCCCCCCTCGTCTTACCTGCAGGTAGGAGGCAACGGTTTCATGAGCCCCACCCCCCCCCCCCCCCCGTCTCCCCTGCAGGTAGGAGGCAACGGTTTCATGAGCGCCCTCGTCTCCTCTGCAGGTAGGAGGCAACGGTTTCATGAGCGCCCTCGTCTCCTCTGCAGGTAGGAGGCAACGGTTTCATGAGCGCCCTCGTCTCCTCTGCAGGTAGGAGGCAACGGTTTCATGAGCGCCCTCGTCTCCTCTGCAGGTAGGAGGCAACGGTTTCATGAGCGCCCTCGTCTCCTCTGCAGGTAGGAGGCAACGGTTTCATGAGCGCCCTTGTCTCCTCTGCAGGTAGGAGGCAACGGTTTCATGAGCGCCCTCGTCTCCCCTGCAGGTAGGAGGCAACGGTTTCATGAGCGCCCTCGTCTCCCCTGCAGGTAGGAGGCAACGGTTTCATGAGCGCCCTCGTCTCCCCTGCAGGTAGGAGGCAACGGTTTCATGAGCCCCCCCCCCCCCCCCCCCGTCTCCCATGCAGGTAGGAGGCAACGGTTTCATGAGCGCCCTCGTCTCCCCTGCAGGTAGGAGGCAACGGTTTCATGAGCCCCCCCCCCCCGTCTCCCATGCAGGTAGGAGGCAACGGTTTCATGAGCCCCACCCCCCCCCCCCCCCGTCTCCCCTGCAGGTAGGAGGCAACGGTTTCATGAGCGCCCTCGTGAGGAGTTTTCTGGAGAAGTTCAACACGAACCAGACCCTGAACAAGATCTCCACCAACCACGCCTGCCTCCCCAACCCCTCCCGCACCGAGCTGACCCTCATCGTCTTCCTCTTCCTCACCTACTTCATCATCTTGATTTTTATTTACTTCGAGGCCTTTGGTCTCAGGCTAAGGTGAGTTCTATGGTCAGTGGTTTTAACTATAGTCACGTGTTTGAGGTGATTTCAAAGGTCAGTGATTTCAACTATAGTCAAGTGTTTGAGTTCAAAGGTCAGTGATTTCAACTATAGTCAAGTGTTTGAGTTCAAAGGTCAGTGATTTCAACTATAGTCAGAGTTTCTTCCAAGAAAGTCTACCACCCCCTCCCCCGAACGAAATGGAATTTATATAGAGACAATATATAGTTTTAACAGTGTCCGCCCCCCCCCCACCTCCCCGAAAATTTTAGTCCCCACCCCGCCCGAAAATTTTAAGTGCCCCCCCCCCCCCCGATAAAAAGTCTGGAAGAAACACTGACTATAGTCGAGTGTTTGAGGTGAGTTCTAAGGTCAGTGATTTAATAAAACAATTACATAAAAACCTTTATAATAATAAGCTTTGATTGAAATGCATAAAATAAGGAAATAAAACAAACTTGCAGTCTTTCTTAAAATCTTTAATCGCTCATGTGAGCCCTTACATATTTTAGCGAACGCTTTTATTGACGAAAGCAAGGGATTTAAATTTCTAAAATATAACTAATTTTTAAAAATAATTTGTTTTAAAAATGCGCATTTTGTGGTGAGACGTCGAATGTCTAAAGATAATTATTAAAGCTTTGAGCTCGGATCGCAGGCTCGAGTCTGTAGGACGTCCCTGAGTCCACCCAGCTCTAATGGGTACCTGACTCACTGAGTCCACCCAGCTCTAATGGGTACCTGACTCACTGAGTCCACCCAGCTCTAATGGGTACCTGACTCACTGAGTCCACCCAGCTCTAATGGGTACCTGACTCACTGAGTCCACCCAGCTCTAATGGGTACCTGACTCACTGAGTCCACCCAGCTCTAATGGGTACCTGACTCACTGAGTCCACCCAGCTCCGAGGGGTACCTGACTCACTGAGTCCACCCAGCTCTAATGGGTACCTGACTCACTGAGTCCACCCAGCTCTGATGGGTACCTGACTCACTGAGTCCACCCAGCTCCGAGGGGTACCTGACTCACTGAGTCCACCCAGCTCTAATGGGTACCTGACTCACTGAGTCCACCCAGCTCTAATGGGTACCTGACACAGGCTAGAGAATATAAAGACATCTGGACATAGAGCTGACAACACTATACCTTCAAAATCAAAGTACACTAAAACAGATGAACTCTACTTCACCTTTTTCTTGGACAGTAAGAATAGAGATGATTAATTAACTTACACACTGCCTGTTTTTAATTTTGTTCCATTCAGACGGGTGATTGCGTCATTTTACTACCGGAAGAGAGAGAAGAAGAGAGTTCTCTTCCTTTACAACGAAATGTTCCGGAAACGACTGGGATTTCTCAAGCACATGCGCAAACGGGTCAGAAAACAGATCAAGGAAAGGGAGCTACAGAACAAAATTGGGCTGATAGTTGCTCTACAGGTGTGGAGCAGGTGTGGTGTGCGGTGTGTAGGGGTGCGGTGTGTGGTACGTGTGTGATGTGTGTAGGGGTGTGGTGTGTGGTACGTGTGTAGTGTGTGTAGGGGTGTGGTGTGTGATACAAGGTACGTGTGTGGTGTGTGTAGGGGTGTGGTGTGTGGTACAAAGTACGTGTGTGGTACGAGTGTGGTGTGTGGCACGTGTGTGGTGTGTGTAGGGATGTAGTGCGTGGTGCGTGTGTGGTGTGTGTAGGGGTGTGGTGTGTGTGTAGGGGTGTGGTGTGTGTGTAGGGGTGTGGTGTGTGGTACGTGTGTAGTGTGTGTAGGGGTGTGGTGTTGTACGGGTTTGGTGTGTGTTACTGGTGTGGTGTGTGGTAGGGACATGGTTTGGTGTGTGGAACGGGTGTGGTATGTGATACGTGTGTAGTGTGTGGTATCAATACCCAAAGAAACCAAAGTTCACGTGTACCGTGTGACGGCCCTACAGAAACAGTTTCCCCGGCTGTGTGGGTGTCTGAGGGTGTTCCAGTCCAACAAAGCCAGCTGCATCATCTGCAACGACCCCGAGGACAAGGAGTTCCACATCTGTGGCACCAAGGGGTGTGGCATCGCCTACTGTCGTCTGTGCTGGAAGGACATCAAGAGAAAGTAAGACTTAACATACCTCACACAAAGTCCGTCGAAAATTATCCAAGTTAGCCTTTTTTATATATTTTTTTGTTTCGTTAATCTCATGTTTAAACTTGTCAACTTTTTGTACAGGTGCTATGCGTGTGGCAAAGACACAGACAGTGACGTCACCGACGTGGAAGATTTGACGTCAGACAGCGCCCCCTCTGATGATAGTGACCTCAATGATTGAGCAGCATTTTGTGTGGCAGTGTTGACGGGAGGGGGGGGGGATGACACGGCAGGGAATTCTAGCTATGGTGATGGTCCTCTATGGAACTTTAGTGGGACACGTTACACGGGACATTTGTTGGGACAAGTTCCACTGCAACATTTGTTGGGACAAGTTCAAGGGACATTTGTTGGGACAAGTTCAAGGGACATTTGTTGGGACAAGTTCCACTGCAACATTTGTTGGGACAAGTTCAAGGGACATTTGTTGGGACAAGTTCAAGGGACATTTGTTGGGACAAGTTCCACTGCAACATTTGTTGGGACAAGTTCAAGGGACATTTGTTGGGACAAGTTCAAGGGACATTTGTTGGGACAAGTTCCACTGGTCATTTGTTGGGACAAGTTCACGGGACATTTGTTGGGACAAGTTCCACTGCAACATTTGTTGGGACAAGTTCAAGGGACATTTGTTGGGACAAGTTCCATTGCAACATTTGTTGGGACAAGTTCAAGGGACATTTGTTGGGACAAGTTCCACGGGTCATTTGTTGGGACAAGTTCCACGGGTCATTTGTTGGGACAAGTTCCACGGGTCATTTGTTGGGACAAGTTCCACTGCAACATTTGTTGAGACAAGTTCAAGGGACATTTGTTTGGACAAGTTCCAATGGAATATATGTTGGGACAAGTTCCATTGAAACACTGGAACTCCATCCATGGTGATGGTCTCCTACAGGAACATTTATTTGCTGGGTACAAGTTCCGCTATGAAATTTGTTTCCATGTGTAAATTTTGTGTTAATTTAAATAACTATGCTATTTATTTGTGTAGAATCTTTCAGTAAAAAAATATTCTTGTACTTTTAATATTACATTTATCTCAAGTAATATTTGCACTCGTTGCTTCCTAAGTAAGATTTTTCAATTGAAACTTATTTATGTTAATATGTAATATGTTTACGGATCTAAAATAAATTTAAAAAATAAGAACAATAACGAATCGACATTAGGAGTTCATAAAATTGTAAGAAATATATTTTTGTAATTTCACTTTTATTTTTGATCTTACAACTTCGAGTTGCATGGTTGGATATCTGTTTCGTAAATCTCATAGCAATTTTATTGTCCATCTGTGTTTTAAAAACAAGTTGGAATTTAGACCGATTGCCTCTAGTAATGATCGTTTTACTGTAAACTAACTGGACACAAAGTTCGACGAAAAGTATAATTAACATCCAGGAATCTTTTGACCCAGCATTAAATGTATTACTTGTAAAAACACAATTGAAACAAGCATATACCCTTCACCACAAATGTGTTTATAAATAAATGAATAAATCAGAAATAATTCCACTCCACCACACACTGCTATTTATTACAGTAGCTAAAAAGGGAAACTAATTATTTCTTGTAATTAGCTGATGCGGATGTATAATCTAAATATTTTGTATTTAATTATTCCTATTTGAGATTTTAGTCCTATTAAATGCATGTTTTACTACGTGTGGGCTATACATTTGCATTTTTAAAAGTTTATATATTTATATTTGTCACAAAGTTCCATAACTCTTATCTCTGTCACATAAGTCCCATAACTCTAGCTTTAGAAATCCACTCCTCTCTAGGCAGGTAACAGCCACACATAACACGCTTGCCATCAAACGCCGCCCTGCCGTGCAACACCCTCCAGTTGTCAATAAACAGAACATTCCCTGGGGTCAACTTCACCCAGAACTCATGACGTGGGTCAGTGATAATCCTAGACAGTTTCTCATAGGCCGTGTAGAACTGGTGCATGACTTCTGGTTTAACCGTGCTCAAGGGTGCTCTGTCATACGGGTTGAACCTGGTCAGAAAATTTTTTAATGGATAAGTACATTTCAAGGCACTATTAAACTGTGGAGTCTATTTAAGATGCATGGAAAGACTTTTTAACTGTTTATTTAGCAAGTTTTTTTTTTTATAATCACAACAAAATATTTACCTAATATTGATGAATTCTTGCGAGGTGGGATGAAGGGACACAACTGGAGCAAGACTAGAGATGTGATACCCTGGGCTTACACTGCTCGCCTCCTCTATGTATTCATGTATTACTGGTGTTTGTACCAGTATCTCAAACGATGCTGGGTCTGTTTTCTTGAGGGTTTCAAGGGCATTGAATCCATCAACTAGGAGAGTAGCTCCCCCTGTTCCTGTGTGTCCTAAGCAGTGAAAAACTTGTAGACTGGAAATATATTTATTACTTTGTATAAAAACTAAATAAACTGCTGCTGTATGCTGTTGTGTGTAGTGTCAGTGTAATATATTGGTTTTCTATGTAAGTTGTGTTGCAGTATGTGTTATGTTGCAGTGTGTTATTGGTTTGTTGTATTGCTGTGTATGTTGTGCAAAAGTGTGTTGGTTTGCTATGCTGAGGTGTATTGCGTTGCAATGTGCTGCGTGGCAGTGTGTTTTGTCAGTTTAATAAATCAATGGGTTGACTCACCTAGTTAATGTGTTGTATTGTGCCGAAGTGTGTTGTGTTGGTGTGTGTTGTCAGTCTGCTACATCTCTATGTTAACTCACCCAGCAGGTGTGTTCAGGCACGTGTTGTCTGTGTGAGCACACAGCTGTTGTGTGGTGTACGCCGTGTCACTCCTAGACATGTCAGGGGTAACAGCATACATCTCCCCATACAACGTCTTCATCACATAGGTCACCCTCTCAGCCACCAGCTGGGTCGCCGCCTCTGTTGCCTCCACCTTGTGTACAGCACCACACATTACTTTTTACATTAAACACCACAACAACAGTTTTATAATGCTGACCAGGCTTACTTGATGAAACAACCAGAACATGTTGAAAAGAACAAAGATTACACAGCAACCTATACATTATCATTCAACAACATTGAATGTGAGAAAAGATGTGTATACACACACAAAGCATATTACCATGATATATTGATGTTCTATAACTATTGCCTATAGAGGACTAAGTTCCAACGTACTGATAATCGATTAACAAAGCCTATATAAGACCATTTGCCATCTAGAGTAAATATTACAACGACTTATAGAGTATTTGCTCCGTGGCATAAACGGACGCTTTTCCATGACGCACAATGGAACTATTACCATGGCATATGAAGGAACAGCTACGCAGACAGGACCTGTTGCTATGCAACAGAATGCCTAAACCATCATAAAGCCAAAACAAAAGCCACTGACCCCACTGACGATGGTTATCCCGTAGTTGATCAAGTTACAAAGCGATTGCTTTAGCCCAGCCTCTGAGGCCATGTGATAAAGAAATGAGACAACTGGCAGACCAACAGACTCCATCACAGCCCTGTCCCACAGCCTCCTCTTGTAGCCCCTGGTCAAAGCTCCTGGGTAAAAGTTCTCAGTGATCCACTCATTAGTGAACAGTGACTGGTGCCCGTCTTTCCCTGATGTAGCAGATTTGCAACAAATACCATCACAACTTTCAAAAATGTGAAACAAATTTTGGCATAAAAGAAAAATAACAAATAATAACAAATTTCAAATATAGGCAACAAATATTATCTATTATACAGAACTGAATCACAAACATTAACATAACTTTATTCAAATGCGATCAACATTAACACAAATTCGATATACAAACATTAATATACTAGATATGCAATGAAAAAGGGCTGTGAAATAATACAGCTATAGCCAGCATAGCTTCATCATGCTGACATAATTAAACATGCAATATAATATCCGTACATACATGTAATTGTAATAACTGATCCATCCCTAGACGTGGTGACATCTGCTGGAGTTAAATCTTTTATCAACAGATCAGCGTCCACATTCTTCTGGTAAGTTTTTGTATTGTAACACCTGGGACATCTACAGTGGTCTCTCAACCAGAGGTAGGGGACCTGCAGGTTTCCGTAAGTTGAGGTCACATTTAGACAGTTGACTGCACTTAATTCGGGCGCACTAGTTTGGTGGTAGGAAGCATATAACACAGAAAATCCATTCACATCACTCAAGTTTAGCAGTCGACGACTGAGAAAGTTTTTATGGTGAATTCTGTGTGATGTGTAAGAACCTGTCACATGCCTGCACACAGTGTGGCAGGCAGGAGACATCAACCTCCATGTGACGGTACTCAAGAGTCTCACACTCATCCCTGTGGCTGGACAACAAAGGTTAAAGGTTAAATCATTATTCATGTGTTTGTGTCACAATCGGTGTTTCCTTAAGAATTTTTTCTCCGCGGTGGGGGGTGCACTTGGCAATTTTGAGTGTGTGTGTGTGGGGAGACTGGTAAAAATATGTATTTTCTATATAAATCCTATTTTATTGGGCAGGACGAGGGTGGGGGAAGTCGTGCGTGATGCCTAAAAGAAACACTGGTCACCCTTATCCCTGCCCCTGGACAACAAAGGTGAAATGCTTACCTGTGTGTTTGTTAATTTACAGGTGTCAAATAAACTCTACAGCGTTGTAGCTTAATTTTTTTCTTGATTCTTTTCAAACTTTCCTAATATGTTCGTCTCCAAAGACAACTCTAGAAAATTTAACTTATACTCTAATGAGATATGAAATTTATCATTAAAATTAATCTTTATGATTTCTATGTTGAATAGCTAAAGGTGAGAAAACAAGATTAATGTGTAGATATTCTAGATACGTCGGGTGAGATGTATTCACGTTTACATTCGAAGTACCGACAACGGACTGCAATAAGGGGCAGATAAGTCAAGTGGAAATCGCTTTATTAAAATTATCTGAAATAAAATGATAAACACGGTAACTGCTTTAAAACTTACATATCCTCTTACTTTATTATAAAAAGTAGAAATTTCACCAGCCTTCCAAATAGTTAGTCAGAAAAATGGATACATGTACTATAGCACCAACACAGATAGGGCATGAAATATATCATGTAAAATCTTGTATAGGACAAAATCCTACCTGCTCTGCTAACGAAAATATATCTAAGTATTGTGCTAATAAAACTAAAGATATATAACTTGTGCTAATAAAAATCTAGATGTAAGTATTGTTCTAATAAATATATATATACAAGTCTTATGCTAGTGAAAATATAGCTATACGTCTTTTGTGAATCAAAATATTTATAGATACGTCTTGTGCTAATGAAAATATTGATATATGTTATAAGTTTGAAAATGTCCAATGTGGCTTCCACTTTATAACATTTATAAAGTATTTGTTCAACATGTTCAACAACATAAAGTATATGTCGAGGCCTAACTAATATGTATGCTGTCTGTATAAAATGTAAATGTATTGTAATATAATTCTTCTTTGCAATTACCTTATGTAAATACAATTGAACATCGTGAAAACATTAAAAAAAAAACAGCTGTTTGATTAAAACCCTGGTGTTTGTCATATAGATAGGCTTTGGGCAGGGCGGGGCGTGTTAGTTGCCCCCCCCCCCCCCCAGCATGGATCCCGAAATTATGACGTGTCTTGTTAAACTGTAGCTATAGCAAACAAACACCACACGTGTCAACGATGTTAAAATCAATGATACTTTTACTTTTCCCCTCATCCTATTGCCTGGTCAAGCCTACACAACCTTCGACTGAATGGCTTCATATAGTTATTTTATGATGAAAATTAGTTTTATGCTAAGGAGTATTTAATTTTCTACTAATAAAATGAGTTGAATGCTAGGTTTTTTTTTAGATACAATGTAACTAGTAATTCATACTGTGTTCTGTTCCTATTCAACCAATGTATTAGATTTCAAGGCTGCCCTCTTTAAAAAAAAACTAACCACTCAACTAAGTGACTATATTTTATTATCCCATTAGTGGCTTTCTAGATAGAGACTATGAACTGTAGTAGAGTTAGATCCTCTTTTATTTTATTATAGACAGAAGCAATAGCCAACAACTCTGGCACAGAAAACTCTCAAAGTAGAATAATTATTTTTAATATCGTGTGCGATGCATGTAACTATAACATGAGAGTATAAAAATGTGTGTAGTTATTGTCTGAATCTTTTACCGACTGGACATCAAAGATTTCAATCTTCTAGATAAGTAAAAAGAATATTGTCCACATTTTTAAAAGTTTTCAATGCTCTAGTTATTTTAAATTGTATTTCAATACTTGAATCAGTGGAAGTTTTCTCTTACCATAAATGATAAATTCCCAAATAAATCAATCAGGATATCTAAATAGACAGATAACTCCACAACATAGCCATCTCGCATTGAATAATTTTTGGCTTTGCTAAATTTACGGACAAAGTGTTCATCTTAGGGTGGGAAGAGACAAATATTCTCTGTTCCTCTTAATAGCTCTGTCTGTCAATGTAGATTTACTATTTCAGACCTAATGATCCATGGGACACACGGAGAAAAGTTTTCCTGTTTCTTGTGACCTTGGTTTATGAAGGGATCATGTGCTTTGTTTTTCTAAATGTGAGTCGGGTACCCACCAGAGCTGGGTGGACTCAGGTATGTCCTGTGGTCTTGGGCCCAGAATCCACACTAAAAACATTTGGTATTTGTTTATATTGAGATTTTTGTCACATAACATAAAACATTTTCTATGTGTAAAAAGTTAAAATTTTTATTGGTTTAATTGCAAAGATCACCACAAAGCACATAAGTGTACACTCATCTAATAAAACAACAATAAAATGTCCAATAACTCTAGTCCAATAACTTAAAATTGTCACTAAGTCCTATAACTCTTATCTCTGTCACAAAAGTCCCATAACTCTAGATTTAGAAATCCACTCCTCTCTAGGCAGGTAGCAGCCACACATAACACGCTTGCCATCAAACGCCGCCCTGCCATGCAACACCCTCCAGTTGTCAATAAACAGAACATTCCCTGGGGTCAACTTCACCCAGAACTCATGACGTGGGTCAGTGATAATTCCAGACAGTTTGTCATAGGCCGTGTAGAACTGGTGCATGACTTCTGGTTTAACCGTGCTCAATGGTGCTCTGTCATACGGGTTGAACCTGGTCAGTCAAATTTTTTAAATGGATAAGTACATTTCAAGTCACTGTTAAAACACATGCACAATCAATGTTTACTTAACTTTAATTCTAATAATATTAAAACATTATTATTTAGCCCTGGTAATAATTTTATTAATTTAAACTATAATTGTGGTGGTTATTTTTAAGATGCATGAAAATACTTTTTAGCTGTTTATTTAGCAAGCACTTTCAAAATCACAACAAAATATTTACCTAATATTGACGAACTCTTGCGAGGTGGGATGAAGGGACACAACTGGAGCTAGACTAGAGATGTGATACCCTGGGCTTACACTGCTCACCTCCTCTTTGTATTCATGTATTACTGGTGTTTGTACCAGTATCTCAAAGGATGCTGGGTCTGTTTTCTTGAGGGTTTCAAGGGCATTGAATCCATCAACTAGGAGAGTAGCTCCCCCTGATCCTCTGTGTTCTAAGCAGTGAAAAACTTGAATCCTAGGAAAATATTTTACATTCAACAAACAGCTGCAATGTGTTGTGTGGGTAGAATGGATTGTGTTGTGTTACAGCATGTGTTGTGCTGAAGTGTGTTGTGTTGCAATTTGTTCTTGTGTTGTCAGTCTGCTACATCTCTATGTTGACTCACCCAGCAGGTGTGTTCAGGTACGTGTTGTCTGTGTGAGCACCCAGCTGTTGTGTGGTGTACGCTGTGTCACTCCGAGACACATCAGACGTGAAGGTCCACATCTCCCCAAACAACGTCTTCATCACATAGGTCACCCTCTCAGACACCAGCTGGGTCGACGCCTCTGTGGCCTCAACCTGATGAACAAGATGACACATCAGTGTTTACATTACATCTAGCTTCATAAACTTTACAAACATCAATCTTTACATTACATCTAGCTTCATAAACTTTACAAACATCAATCTTTACATTACATCTAGCTTCATAAACTTTACACACATCAGTCTTTACATTAAATCTAGCTTCATAAACTTGACACACATCAGTCTTTACATTACATCTAGCTTCATAAACTTATCAAACATCAGTCTTTACATTACATCTAGCTTCATAAACTTATCAAACATCAGTCTTTACATTACATCTAGCTTCATAAACTTATCAAACATCAGTCTTTACATTACATCTAGCTTCATAAACTTGACAAACATCAGTGTTTACATTACATCTAGCTTCATAAACTTGACAAGACTTGTGTTGGAAAAACAACCACAAACTGTTGCTTACACAATAAAATACATCAATGTCTTTAAATTAATGAAAAAATCTTTACATACATAAAGATTCCTTTTTAGACCTAGCAGTGATTGATTGGGCAGATGAAGTAGATTTCATATATGTTTCTTGGCCTCAGTATATGATGGGATAAAGTGGTCACCACCATGCCCAGCCACCTAATATGAATTAGGTACCCATCTGAGCCGGGTGGACTCAGGGACGTTCCACTAACTTAAACCCAGATTCAAACTTGAGACTTTTCAATAATCAGTCTAGCGGTCTACCACTAGGCCTAGCCATCCAATTTTACATACACACTAAGAGGCAATTAATATGACATATGGAAGTCCTATTATTATGGCAGATAAAGAACCTAGTAGAGGATCTATAGTTATATAACCATAGCATTTGGTGTGGAATGGTCAGACTAGGAGCGCATAACTACTAACACAAAAGTTTAAAGTTTGGATCCTGTTCTGGAAGCTGTAGGTTGTTCCAGGTCTGTTGGGTACCTTCACATGTTCAGGAAAGGCAACTAGTTATAAAACTGAACACGATATTCCTTCCAAAGCTAAGATCACAAAGACTGGTGAACCCTACTGCATCTGCCCTAGTGACCACCATGTGCATATAAAAGACTTAATAATGAACTGGCGTATAGAGGTATTACTACCATGACATGAAGGGGACCAGTTACCATGACATACCTAGGTCCTATACCAGTATAAAAGCCAAAACAAAAGCCACTGACCCCACTGACGATGGTTATCCCGTAGTTGATCAAGTTACACAGGGATTGTTTTAGCCCAGCCTCTGAGGTCATGTGATCATGAAATGGGACAACTGGCAGACCAACAGACTCCATCACAGCCCTGTCCCACAGCCTCCTCTTGTAGCCCCTGGTCAAAGTTCCTGGGTAAAAGTTGTCAGTGATCCACTCACTAGTGAACTGTGACTGGTGCCCGTCTTTCCCTGATGTAGCAGATTTGCAACAAATAATATTAGAACTTAACATTCATTTGCAACCAATATTTTACAATAATTAACAGAACTGGCAGTGGGTATTATAAAAGTTTTCTAACATAAACAACCAATATTGTGAAAATGATACAACTTAGATACCAAACAAATAGTTAATTATTCCATTAAGATGTTCAACTAATTTAAAGATGACTTTGAACAAAAACAACTATTGTAATTTGAACTTAATTGGTGAGATTGTTTGAAAGCTTGGTAAACTATCAACATATAATAGGTATATATTAATAAAATGTAAACCCCACCAAGTATATAAAAAACAAAAAATAATGTCCATACTCAGTGTATATGAAGCAAGAAAAATACTACCATAATACCTGAACCATAAAACAACCTTTGTGAAGTTGGATGCTCAAGTTTGTAAAAAAAAAAAAAAAAAGAACAACTACCCAACTGACTTAATACATTGAAAATGCGGTCATCCATTGATGACACCAGCACAGGGGAGGAGGGGGTGAGTGTGCATACATGTGTTTGTCCATTTGGACATCAAATTGTTAAATCTATCATCCCAATACTAGTATACTAAATTACTTATTGCTGCAAGTGGACACATACAAACTGGGGATTTCAATCCAATTTTTTTCCATCTCATAAATAGATGACCTATTGTAACAAAAGAATTCTTACATGTAATTGTAATAACTGTTCCATCCCTCGACGTGGTGACATCTGCTGGAGTTAAATCTTTTATCAACAGATCAGCGTCCACATTCTTCTGGAAAGTTTTTGTATTGTAACACCTGGGACATCTACAGTGGTCTCTCAACCAGAGGTAAGGGACCTGCAGGTTTCCTCTAGGTGAGGTCACATCTAGACAGTCGACTGCGCTTAATTCAGGCGCACTAGTTTGGTGGCGGGAAGCATATAACACAGATAATCCATTCACATCATTCAAGTTTAGCAGTCGACGACCGAGAAAGTTTTTATGGTGAATTCTGTTTGATGTGTGAGAACCTGTCAGATGCCTGCACACAGTGTGGCAGGCAGGAGACATCAACCTCCATGTGACGGTACTCAAGAGTCTCACACTCATCCCTGTGGCTGGACAACAAAGGTTAAAAGTTAAACCATTATTCATGTGTTTGTTAACTGGTAAGTATCAAATAAACTACACAATGTGTTAGTTAAAAATACATGTTATTTTAAAACATTTTATATAAAATTATTAATAGTTTTAGTTATAACATCCTATCTAATACAACAGAATATATTTAAGATCTTCAAAAATATTAAACACTCGAAATGAAACATTCACATTTTGCACTTCAAAAGACACGTCCAACCTGTATCAGTTGACCTAATTAAGTACCTGACTGAATTTCTTTAGCTATCACACAGCAGTGGGACAATAAGGTCAACTACTTTAGAAAAAGGTCGTTGAATAAATTACCCAGGGAAATTCCCACAGCAGTTGTGTGTTAAGATAAACATTTATCAGTGGGATAAGAGGTTTTTTTTTTAATTTTTGAACGTTTGACTTAAAAAAGCATTTACAGAAAAGCTCTTGCTAATTTTAATTTAAACAGCAATATTTTTAAAAATGGATTAAAAGAAGACACTTTTGAGTGTTCTATAATTTTTATCAGTTTATACATATCACAAATATTGATAAAGATGAATCAATAGTTTATTTACAATTAGTGTATGGATTGGTTATTGTCACATACTATTTTCTGTTTTCACATCACAACTTATAATAAAGATAGACACAAGGACATAATTATTCTGTCAGTGTTTTCCTAAAGGTTTTTTATAACAAAAACTATCCATATTTCGACACATTTATCAACTACAACAATGCACAAACCAGCAAAGTGCACCATGAAATAAATTCTTTAATTTCACACTTAATAATTTATTAATTGACATATCATAAGCTTCATTTAAAATTGCTGTAACATTCTCTATACTTTGTTTTTAAAAAATAAAATTCAGTAAAATTATGGTAAAAAACCCACTTATTTTATTATGTTCACAAATTCCATAGGTTAACAGTTTTAATTTTCTTCTGCTAATCTTGAGAACAATCAAGAACAAATGTTTTCCATTATAAACCTAATGCAGGGTATAAAGGAATGTAGTATTGAAAATAATTCCCTTGATTGAGGTTAGGTTATATTTACCAAGTCATGTATAAGGGGGTACTGTTGCAGATAGTCATTAATGTGCAATATTGATTGTTACCTACAGTCATTAATGAAAAAAATTGATAGTTACCTATTGTTATTAATGAGGTAGTGTAGATGGCTGAGGCAGTGGTTTTGGATCGTACCCAATTCTAGCGTGAACAGTCTCTCTACTTTTGGTAGCATACATTTCAGGGGTCAAAACTGGGTCAGACTTGGCCAGCTTAGCAGCTGCCTCACGTTCTTTTTTCATGCTCTCATATTCATCCAGGTCAGCAATCTTTAACTCAATCCGTGTAGGCTTTCTTCTGATCATGACAGCAGCTATTGGTACAATTTTTTTTTAATTTCACATCAGTAAAACTTTTTGAATAACTCATTTTTTTAAATATTGTATGTGTTAATAAGTGAATTAACACACACACAAAAAAAGAAAACAACATTAAGACAAAATTAAGAAAAATAACTATAACAAAAAAACAGGGTTGCATACATTAATTAAAATTAAGTTATATTGGTGAGCTAGCCATGTTATAATACTCATTTTACTCGATTTTCATTGACAATGTATAGAAGTCTGCTTGAGGTCATTTTAAGGTCACGCAATGTATAGAAAGATCTAGTATGCATGCTGTTGTGAAAAACACTTAGCCTAAGGCTACTATAGAGGAGAAAAAATTAAGCAGGCTTTATTTTACAGTAAAAAAAAAAGTGATCTATGATCTAACCTATTACTGTACAGTCTTTACTGTCTGATCTATTTTTAATTTTTGAATATTAATGCCATTTTTAGTAGGCGTATCTATTTTTTTATATTAATGATGTAATGTCTTAAGATGTATGTAGAATTTTTTAAAAATCGGACTATATCAAATATTTTGGCCCTACTTAATAAACATATTGAATTGGTATAAAGTGTTATTACTAACAAGATGTTTTGGAATTTTTGGTAAGTAAAATATAAAAAATATCAAATGATGTAGCAATAGCCATGACAGCAATACTAAAAATAAAGAACACAATCCAACTTAAATTTTTACTTTTATAATGGTGAAATAATAATCATTAAAAAAGTTTTAAAAAACCCACGTTTTCTGATTGAACTAAAAAGTAGAAAATAAATGCTATAGGCCCTACATCACAATAATGCAAGCGATCACTCTACTATAAGCGAGCAAAAACGTGGGGCGCCGAAGTAAAAGTTATATTACTATTGATTAGATAATACTATTGACTTTTATTAGGGAGCTTGTAGAGAGTCAACAGTATTAGAAACTGTAAGAAAATCACGGCGCCCCACGTTTTTGCTCGCTTATAGTAGAGTGATCGCTTGCATTATTGTGATGTAGGGCCTATAGCATTTATTTTCTACTTTTTAGTTCAATCAGAAAACGTGGGTTTTTTAAAACTTTTTTAATGATTATTATTTTCTACTTTTTAGTCTTTGTCTGTTTGTTTGCATTAAAATCTTGCTATCGATTTTATCTTTTCACTTTTTTTGGGTAAACGAAGACAACTCGTAAAAAGACAACTCGTAAAAAGACAACTCGTAAAAAGACAACTCGTAAAAAACACGTTGTTTGAATACGTTACTGACTAGAACACATAGATTTGAACCCGTGTCGAGTGGGATAGCAATCGTGTGCCCAACCACTCGACCATATCGTCTCCCCCAAACTGGCCTACCTCCTGTAAGTTTAAACTCGGTTCAAGCTAAATTCTCTGCCCCTAAGCCTGTGGCGACATGTGATCGTTCGCTTCACTGCGCGCGAGGTACGCGTCGCTGGTTTTTTTTCTAACGCTAGCAGAGGAGAATTATATATATAGATTATATAGCGGTCTAAAATGCTCAATAAAATGTTTCCATTGATCAATTTAGTAATAATAACAATTGAATATTCAATGGTCATCCAAAAGAAAGCTTCCCTGAAAATTTCAGCGCGCTAGCTAACTGGGAAGTGCCAGAAATTTCGATCGCAAGATTTGATTGGAAAGACAAACAAACAGAGAAAGCAAGTTAAAGAAAACGTGGGAAAAAGAGTTTTGTATTTTAAGTGTATTTTAGGTCATTTTTTTTATTTTTTTTAAATTTTCTCTGCCTCTGAGTCTGAGCAAGCTAGAAGAATTTGGATGAATCTCAAACTGACCCGCAAGGGATATGATTTGTAATAGTGTGACAGAATATTTTAATTTTAATTTCAAATTTACTTAGTGAGAAAATCTATCTTATAGAATGGCAGCTTTTAACAATAAGCCTACTTTTGAGTGAAAATAGCATTAGGCTTAAATATGTAGCATGTAGGCCTAGCAGAAAAATAACAGAAAATTTGGGATTAATAGGCCTAAAACTTAATAATAGGTTATGTTTTAAATTTTAATGAACAGCAGAAGAGAAAAAAAAGTAGGCCCTATGTTTTTACATGGGCAAACCTAAAATAACACATTTAGGCCAAACACAATTGAAACATCCAATTCATTGGACTTAAAATTTGTTTGCGGCATGCAGCTACTGAGCTACATTATCGGTTGACTATTGTCATTATGCTACAGGCCTAAGTCCTAAGTTTATATTTTACAACAATATCAACTTAAAATTTAAATGATTAGGATTAGGCCTCAAGTGTATTAGTGTCACACTAATCACACCAAGCCTATTAAAATAAGGCCGCATTTGCGTTACGCGTAAGACTGGATTTGCGCAGTTCGCTCCACGTTACGTTTAATCTTTACACTAAGTGGCACGCGATCTAGAAAAAATAGATATCAGGACTGCCCGCTATTTTTTTCGTGTTAGCAATTTAATGTTGACATAGATCTAGATTTAGTTTAAGTGTATTATTTCAACACCTAAGAATCTAGATCTAGTCTAGTACCTACTTGTAAAAAAAACAGTACAGTGTCAGTGTAGTGGGTCAGATGATAGTCCTAGATCTAGCAACGATCTAGCTAAATCAAACTGCCCGGCTTTGGCTTTAGTAAATAGTTTTTACAGCCATCTAGCATGCATGATAGTAGATCTAAGTCTATAGGCCTATTATTAATCCTAGGTGAACTGAAAAAAACTTTAATTTGAGGGGGGGGGGGAGGGAGAGAGAAGTGAAGTGAAGTGAAGACACTGACGATCTGGCGAACTTGTGTTCATTCTATGACGTATGCTTTAGGCCTGCTTAACTCACAGCGATCCCGCCGACCGTGAGCCGTGGTGGGATTTTTCACCCACAGGATAGTAAACGCAGGCAAATAATCATGCGAGTGACTATGTTTGGAAATTTTATTTTAAAAAAAAAAAGAATCATAGAATCACACGTCGTATTTTCAATATGGAAAAAATAAAATGTAAAAAAGCAACCAGTATCGGTCGTGCTAACCGTGAGTTCGAACTAGGAGCTCCAGGTCTATGAACTACAGTCTACAGCTGAGCTGGCACACTGATGACTAAAACCACACCGGATATATTGGTAAAGAAAAAAGTAAGCATTTTCAATCACAAGATGGCAAATCCAACCTGCGAGACACGTAGTCACTTTGTTACGGGCTACACTCTGCGAGACGCGTAGTCACTTCGTTAAAATAATTAGGTGGCGGTATGCAAGACAAAATCAAAATGTCATCAGGCTGATTTTGCACCCTTCACACATTTTACGGTTAGATTACCACCTCGCCATTTTAAATTTTACCAAGACCCAAATTTGATCAAACCTAAAATCTAGATCTCTTCTAGATCAAAGTGATAAAAATTACAATTTTGGCAAAATTATTTGCCAGTAGTGAAGTGTCAGTAGTGTTGTTTTGTTACAGTTACCACTCACTCAGCCTGAGGCACACCACTACTTGTGGCTGCACTAAATTCTTCTTTTCACATTACTAGATCTAGTCTCGGCCGATTTTACGTACCTAAAGCGATAGATTAGCTAATAGTAAATTTACTAAATACTTATTTTCTACAGGTGTCAAATACATACTTTCAGTTTAAAAATAAAAAGATGTTTGAATTCGATTTATTTAACATCTCCAATATTAGAAGTTTATATTATTGAGGAATGACGAATAATGCGCATGTCTGACGAACTTGCATCTATTGACACATTTATTATTTCTTCTCTTATGTAAATTTGACTGTTCGATGTGAGGTTGCACAAACGTGACCAAAATCACTTTTTTTACGAAGCTGACAATAAATAAAGTAGATCAAGCCAATTATTTATAAATTTGTTAACGATTTTAATTTCCTAAATGTCTTATTTAGGCCTATATGACATTCATTAAAAAAAATTGAAGACATTTTATTGACACTAGAGCGCACTGAAGAAACTGAAGCCGCATAAAACAGCTTAGATGTCCTTCCCCCTCCCCACCACCACCGTCCTACCGAATTCCCATACCTATTTCACTGCAGACAAAAAATGCATCATTGATTGTTACATGACGTCTTCTTTTGTTTTGTGCTATTCTGCTTAGGAAAGCATACCCGAAACTAAAATCGGTGATAGCGGGCGCTCAATTGCATGTTCAGACTTTTATCTAGATTCTAGGGGGGGGGGGGGGGATCCACCGAATACCCTTATACCATTTTATAATTCAGTATAGGGCTTAATAATTAATGGTAGGTTTTCAAGGTTTGGGGAGTTTACGAGAGCAGAAAATAGATTAATTATAATGTTACCCTCGACCTCCTAACGCATCCATGCCCACGCCACTGTAAATATATCTTAAACAATATTATTTTTTAATTAGTAAGTAGGCGAGCTTATACAACAACAATATTATTAATGACAATATCTAGTTCAGTTATTTTATTTCTTAGGTTAATGTGAACTCCGTTTACCAAGGGAGAAAATTCTTTTTTAAATAGTCTTTAAGGTTTGACCTCTTTTATTTGCATTTCCGGCAATAATTTGATGACAGCAAAGTCTGGCACCATCTGGAAATCAGAGTGTAGTGATCTGCCATCTGATAGAAGATCTTCATCTACATTGTAAACCACTAGTGTTAAATTTTAAAATTTGAAAATGACGAAAGGAAGGGTTGATAGTGCTCTTTCGACTGCACCAGTGGTGACATGTATGAAAACTCTAATGATGGTTTTTAATTTCATATTTTGGGTGAGTAGGCGTATTTCTGAAGTATTTCAATCGGTTTTTTTTTAATTTCCTGATTAGCCTCCCTTTCTATTTTTGAGTATTTATTAATTTAATCAACCACCACACATATTTTTGTTAGGCTAATTATTAATTAATTATTAATTAACTGAGTCTTCTGATATATGATTTCAAATAGGCTTAATAATGAAATTATAAACTTGAAAATAGGGCCATTGCGCGGCATTAAGTAGTAGTAGTCACAAGTAGGGCATATGAGGCCTATTCAATTTTCAATTTATTTTTATTCATGTTTCTCTATTTTAAATTTTTATTTATTAGGCCTACTATTACTTTACTCTATTAGATTAGTATAGTTAGGCCCTTCTAATTGATTACTGTTACTATGTATTAGTATGTATCACTTAGTAGGCTGACTTAGGTTATAGTCCTATATAGAACTATATAGGCTATATAGTAGTATATAGTATATACTATAGGCCTATAGTATATAGGCCTAGTATAAAACTGTAAAGTAAGATCTAGGCCTAGTACTAGTAGATTACTTATAATTTATAATTATAGGGCCTACTGGCGACTTTTTCAATTTTTTTTCATTGTTCTTAATTGTAACGTTTGATGGTGGTATTTCCTCCAACGATTAAATATTGCGTGTCAACCTCATCCAGAATCGGTTGTTGTCAGCAGCTGTTTAGCCTAATCTGCCTGGGGGTTTGAACTTAGTTCTTTTCAGTTTAGCAATCAAAAGCATTAACCACTTAATCATGCCGACCCCCCCCCCCCCTTGCTCTTTGAAAGTGAAACTATAAAATAAAAATAAATTTCTTCTAAATTTAACATGCTGCAGTGCATCATACCTCCCTTTAAAAAGATTAAAATGTTATTAATAAGAAAGTAGACCTATTAATTATGAATATTCTTGCTATAAGAATGTACATATTTTAAGAAGCCATGCCTATTGCCTTGTCTAGCTTGTATGCAAATATGATATCTAATTAATTTATTAACCCAAGCCCTTACACCATATTAAAAAAGAAGCCTATTGAAAGCTGTGAGTGTTTCAGAGATAATGGAAAATACGTTAAATACTTGAGAATTGCCAAAAATACAATATGATGACAGATATTAAACTGTTTGTAGAGAGTGTGCAAGAATAGAGAAAAAATTATTAATCTTTAATTAATAGGGTCATAAAAATTGTATTTTAAACACATTAAATTAGTTATTATTTTCTTAATAAAAAAATGGAAAAAAGTATTCAAAAGTACAAAAAAAAACCCATTCTGTTGAAAAACAAGATTTTGGTGATTTTTTTTTACTGCACATATGCTCATAATGAGCTCTGTAATATCAGTCATGCATCATTGCATGGTAGGGTTGATCAACTTTTCAATATTCATTACTCATGTGCAGTAGTATTGTGAGATGTAAATAAAAATATAACTTAAGTTCTATCCTTTAGCATAGCCAAGTCCTAACATTAACATTACTTTATGGTTAGGGTTAAGTTTAAAGTGTCTTTCTTTAATTAACAGGGGTAATGTTCTATTACAGCAGTTGGTCAGATGGTAACATACTGGGGGTAATTGTGAGGTATTGTTCAATGTGGGGGGGGGGGGGGGGGGGTGATATTCTGCTCCTGCACAACACTAGTGAACAGCTTTACTATATTGCTTGTACACTCACATCCACTTGTATTTAAAATGTGATTTATTCAGTCAATGGGCTGATATTAATTAAGAAAATAAATGGCAACCCCTTTTACAACTTAAGGTACAGGTGAAATAGAATTGGTCTTTTTTTTTCTGCACTGTTACCAGCTGCTTTGACAATCCCCAACTCAAGTCAAGTACCCATTAGAGCTGGGTGTATTAAAGGACTTTGTAATTTACGTTACCCAATTTATTTCAGGCTAGTTTAGAAACCACATGTCTACCAAAATTTTGTGAGAGATACTGAAAATGTTAAATTTTAGAACAAATACTGATGTGTATGTGCACATGCAGTGTAAGTTGATGAATTATTAACTGTTCTAAACTAGTTAAACTGAGTCCACCCTACTCAGATGGGTACCTAACACATGTTAGGGAAAGTAAAGGCGGCTGGGCATAGTGATGACCACACTATCTCTTCAAATGCCGAGGTCACAGAAACAAGTAAACTCTACTTCACTTGCCCTATAGACCGTCAGGTTTGAAAAGGGAACTTTTACTAAACTCGTTACCACCTAACTAATAAAGAAGCAGATGTCACAATAATGGATCACAAATTCAATATTGACAATCTTACAAAAAAATGAAAAATTTTCATATTTTGTACCAAGAGATACTACTAAATCTGCCAATTATTTCTGGGCTGTACATCCTTTGTGTATAACTTGGCTGAAGACAATGTGTTAGGGATTTCCAGGTGAATGCTTTCTATTCTTTACAAAACTACACACTTTTGGGCATGTGTACGAAGCATGGTGTGTGATTGATGTAACAGGCTGTTTCAGTTTGTTTAGGCACACTTCCTTTAAAAACAAAACACATTTAATTGAGAAGCATGGTGTGTCGCCAAAGACTAAAATTTAAAGTTGAATATAATAATTCAATATTTACAAGATTGTAAAACTGGGTAGTGACGCTCATGGTGACAGAACCACTTCTGATCCCTAGCCTGAACTTAATTACCACCCATCATCTAAACTTTGTTTGGGCTGAAACGTACCTCCCTAATTAAAGCCTTGCTAAAACGTACCTCCCTATTTAAAGCCTTGCTAAAACGTACCTCCCTAATTAAAGCCTTGCTAAAACGTACCTCCCTAATTAAAGCCTTGCTAAAACGTACCTCCCTAATTAAAGCCTTGCTAAAACGTACCTCCCTAATTAAAGCCTTGCTAAAACCTACCTCCCTAATTAAAGCCTTGCTAAAACCTACCTCCCTAATTAAAGCCTTGCTAAAACCTACCTCCCTAATTAAAGCCTTGCTAAAACCTACCTCCCTAATTAAAGCCTTGCTAAAACCTACCTCCCTAATTAAAGCCTTGCTAAAACCTACCTCCCTAATTAAAGCCTTGCTAAAACCTACCTCCCTAATTAAAGCCTTGCTAAAACCTACCTCCCTAATTAAAGCCTTGCTAAATCGTACCTCACTAATTAAAGCCTTGCTACTATGCTGGTACTGGTGTCCTATTGGCTGCAGGTATGCCAGAACAATTGTTGAGGTGGAAGTGGCCAAATGTGATTAGTCACTCAATTTTGTAATTCTATTATGGAACTGTACAGGCAATACATTTTGGTCTAAATTTACACATCTGATTGTCACAGTGGAATCTATTTTTTTTTTATATGAAAAAAAATTACTTGTTATAGTGGCTTCATGCTCTTGTACTCTTTTTATACATGTTCTATCAACATGTGCCTCATCAAGATTTTCTATTATCTTCAACATAACACCTCTAGAATAATCTTCTAGATTTGTTTCTATCCTTCGCTTCAGTAAGTTAAGCCTTCAAGTATAACAGACTGGCTTTAAACTAAGTTTCCCTAGCTAATGGTACAGCTTCTGACCTTTCCATTTGTGACCCCCAGAGAGTCAAGTCTTAGAAGGGTGAGCGAGGTCACATGACAGATCAATAAACCAATAACAGTTCCATGATTCCTGTATAGCCTCTTGGTTTCCCCATAAAGCATTGTACCTGCCACCTCCTATGCTGCATTATTTATTCATTTCATAGTGTGTTGTGCAACGCCAGACAATTTAATTCATTAATCATTGATTTTAAATTTTGTTTCTTTTTTTTTTTTGGGTTTTTTCATTAATAATAATAAAATATCATTTTCACTAAAGGCATAAAACAATATAGCTTAGAAATATGTGTAGAGCATGATAAAAATAATGTTTTATATAGCTGTTGCTACCCTAAAGCCTGGAAATATGTGTAGAGCAATATAAAAGTAATATGTTTTATATAACTGTTACTACCCTTAGCCTAACCCTAACTGGTACAGTCATAAGATGGCCGGTTACATTACAATGCTGCCTGCCAATAAATACAAAATACTAAATCAGGTCATAAGCTAATGACTACAAAATACTAAAACCACCACATCAAAAGGATGTTGAGATGACCACATCAAGATGATGTTGAGTTGTGTTACAATACACAGAGAATGTCACACTGTGTTGGTCATCAAAAGACTTCTCGTCTGTTACATCAAATTTTTATACCACCATTTTTTAGATGGGTAAACTCAAGTTTTAGACCACCATTTTTTAAGACAGGGAAACTCAAGTTTTAGACCACCATTTTTTAGATGGGTAAACTCAAGTTTTAGACCACCATTTTTTAGACGGGTAAACTCGAGTTTTAGACCACCATTTTTTAGACGGGTAAACTAAAGTTTTAGACCACCATTTTTTAGACGGGTAAACTCAAGTTTTAGACCACCATTTTTTAAGACAGGGAAACTCAAGTTTTAGACCACCATTTTTTAGACGGGTAAACTCAAGTTTTAGACCACCATTTTTTAGACGGGTAAACTCGAGTTTTAGACCACCATTTTTTAGACGGGTAAACTCAAGTTTTAGACCACCATTTTTTAGATGGGTAAACTCAAGTTTTAGACCACCATTTTTTAGACGGGTAAACTCAAGTTTTAGACCACCATTTTTTAAGACAGGGAAACTCAAGTTTTAGACCACCATTTTTTAGACAGGGAAACTCAAGTTTTAGACCACCATTTTTTAGACGGGTAAACTCAAGTTTTAGACCACCATTTTTTAGACGGGTAAACTCAAGTTTTAGACCACCATTTTTTAGACAGGGAAACTCAAGTTTTAGACCACCATTTTTTAGACAGGGAAACTCAAGTTTTAGACCACCATTTTTTGAGACAGAGAAACTCAAGTTTTAGACCACCATTTTTTAGACGGGTAAACTCAAGTTTTAGACCACCATTTTTTAGACGGGTAAACTCAAGTTTTAGACCACCATTTTTTAGACCGGGAAATTCAAATTTTAGACCACCATTTTTTAGACAGGGAAACTCAAGTTTTAGACCACCATTTTTTAGACGGGTAAACTCAAGTTTTAGACCACCATTTTTTAGACGGGTAAACTCAAGTTTTAGACCACCATTTTTTAGACAGGGAAACTCAAGTTTTAGACCACCATTTTTTAGACAGGGAAACTCAAGTTTTAGACCACCATTTTTTGAGACAGAGAAACTCAAGTTTTAGACCACCATTTTTTAGACGGGTAAACTCAAGTTTTAGACCACCATTTTTTAGACGGGTAAACTCAAGTTTTAGACCACCATTTTTTAGACCGGGAAATTCAAATTTTAGACCACCATTTTTTAGACAGGGAAACTCAAGTTTTAGACCACCATTTTTTAGACGGGTAAACTCAAGTTTTAGACCACCATTTTTTAGACAGAGAAACTCAAGTTTTAGACCACCATTTTTTAGACGGGGAAATTCAAATTTTAGACCACCATTTTTTAGACAGGGAAACTCAAGTTTTAGACCACCATTTTTTAGACGGGGAAACTCAAGTTTTAGACCAGACCACCATTTTTTAGACAGGGAAACTCAAGTTTTAGACCACCATTTTTTAAGACAGGGAAACTCAAGTTTTAGACCACCATTTTTTAGACAGGGAAATTCAAATTTTAGACCACCATTTTTAAGACAAACTCAAATTTCTGTCTTTTCACATTGATAAAAAACAGAACCTTAAAAGCTTCTAATTAAATTTAATTAAAACTCAGCCGGACTAATGTCTTACAATTAATTTTGCCTGGGCGTTGGATTTTATATATTGATTATTTCTTAATTCTTGTAAGCAGTTTTCTCCCCTAGTTTGGTGGCTTGTAATATCTTCTTAAACACATTTTTATTTGAGTTATTTTTACTTTGTAGCCATTTAATATGAGATCTAAGGCAATAACTTTCTATTTTTGACTGCTGGGATTTTAGCTGGCATTTTAACACAAAGCAAGAAAATCAATAAGTTGTGTGACAATATAAGTCATGAGAAATGGTGTAGAATGTTGGTTTAGCATTTGTTAGTCATAAAGCATGTGACAAGTTGATTATTTCTAGTTTTTTTGACTGTCAATAAACAACTGATGGCAGTGTCATGTCACCTGCCAGTTGTCATTCACATCACCCATCAGACAAATCACATATCATTAATGTCACTTGTTTGGGGAAAAATAAAAATGACATGGCTCTTTACTGTTTTTTTTTTACCATGCCCATCTTTAAGAATTTAAAACATAATGTACAACTGATAGCAAGAGTACAAGTAGATCAGTGCAGATTAAATTAGCTTTATGTTAAAATAAATTTCATTTCCATTTTTGTAAAATTGTAAAAAAATGTTTATCGGGAGAATATTAAATAACAATTAGACAAGACTTTCGTTGTTATTTTAGAGTCACATAAACTTTTTTAATTTAAAATATTCGCTATATCAAACAATTAATTAGTATAATAGCAGTGTGAGACTGCTTTAACTGTGATAAAACAAATAACATTTCTGGTCACATCCACGTTCAAAACATCAGCGACATGTCACAAGCTGTCAGATAAATATTTCTAACATTTGCCAAAGACATTAACTTAATTGTTTTTCTTATGTATCACGTTTTTTTTTACATTTGACATCACATAATACCTGAGTATGCTACAAACCAACACCATAAAATTAACTATGCATAGGCCCATCACAGGACCCCATTGTAATGTTACACACATGTGTATTGATTGGTTTACTCAGCTCCATATAACCAGTCAATACAAAAAAATTCAAGCTGTGTTTGCAGCTACAACATCTGAAAAATATTTATTATTATATGTTCATAGAGATTAATTAAATTTCACATGTGTGTATTTTTTAGCGCAATTTCCATACAGACAATTGCGATTATTAACTCGTCATTTATGGATGGATGGATGGATGGATGTGTGTCCGCAGTTTTAAGTGGTATCTCCTCCTCAACAAAGCAATATCGAGGACTAGTTCCAAAAGCAAATATGTTAAGCAAGTTCCAAGGATGATTGTGGGCCAAAAAAATTCCCGGAATTCCTTCCTGGATTTCCCGGAACAGCCAAAAATCCTCGAACAAATGCGACTTGAAACATTTACCAATCGATTAATGCCATAATTTAGAACAATATTGCCGAAGAAAGTTTTCAAAAATATCCTTTCGTTCGGTCACAAAATTTTTTTAAAAATTATTTAAACTGAGCATCGTGTAGGCCTAGGATGATATTTTAAACTGAGCATCTTGTAGGCCTACTCGTTAAAATAAAACTATTTCCGTTGATATAGGTTAATATAGTTGTCTTTTTTTTTTTACTTATTAATTCAAACGTTATTTTTGTACCCTATTAATGTATTTATAATTTATATGAGAGTGATAGGGAGTTATGTTTCGCTAGGCCTAATCATTTTTTCACATTTTTAAAAAAATTAATTAAGGAAATTGCGCTTAAATTGTCACTAGACTTTTTATTAACTTGTTTAGATTAAATTTTGGTCATTTCTGAATTTGCAATCAATTTTTAAATTTATCAATTACTTGAGTATTTGTAAAACAAAATAAAATTGGGTTACTGCCCTTTGAAGAAAAGAAAGCTGTGTCCCTTTGTGTAGCCACAATCAATAAGGGAGAGTCCAGCTTGATTGATTAGATAGTTTGTGTGTTTGTCATTGGCCCGTAATATGTTTATTATTCAAATAAGATGTCAAGATTTGAATAGAACAGCTGGCTAACAAAACAACCAATTTTGTTACATGACAACGTGTAGAGGGAAAATGTGAAAATTTGGTTTTGAGACATCAGTGCAGCACAACACTGTGGTAGATGAAGTGCCAACACTACACAACATACTATATGTGCATCAGATTTCCGTTATCACCCCTACCCAGACATGTACAAGCTTAAATAAAAAACATTCCCGTGATTCTAGGTGATGTGTACCTCATAGAAAAGTGGATGTTTTTGCTTAAAAAACATTCCCATGATTCTAGGTGATGTGTACCTCATAGAAAAGTGGATGTTTTTGCTTAAAAACATTCCCATGATTCTAGGTGATGTGTACCTCATAGAAAAGTGGATGTTTTTGCTTAAAAACATTCCCATGATTCTAGGTGATGTGTACCTCATAGAAAAGTGGATGTTTTTGCTTAAAAACATTCCCATGATTCTAGGTGATGTGTACCTCATAGAAAAGTGGATGTTTTTGCTTACGCAAAGATTTTTTAATAAAATAATTAGGAAGAAAATTAATTTGAAAGCCATCAAGTTACAGGACCACTTTGTTAAAAAAAATTGTATTAGCTTTGCCATTGTTTTTAAATATGCTATATTTGAAAAAAAAATTTTGGATAGAAATCAATATCTACATAGTATTAAAAAAATATAAATTAAAAAAAGGATAACAGATTCAGAATGGAGTTTCATTTTGATTTTTTTTAAAAACATAATTTTACATAAACTGATACTTTGTGGAGTTGTCCATGTGCCAATTTGGTCAGTGTCAGTTGTCAATAAAGTGAGTTGTCAATCTGCATGTTGACAACTCCCGTTGTCATACTAGCAGTTGTACTGTGTTGTGGCCAAGTGATTGTTATTATAACTCTGGCCATTGGTTTCTTCTCAGGTGACTGGTATTGTGATACTGGCCATAGGTATTTGGACCAAGGTCGACCTCTACAAGTACCTGGAACTCTCGTCCATCTACCAACCCGAGGCCCCCTATGTCCTGATTGGTGTCGGAGCTGTCATTGTTCTCATTGGTTCCTTAGGATGTTGTTGCACCATCAAAGGTCACTCACTGCTTCTGTATATGGTAAGTAAATAACATATTTTCTCTATGTCTGTAAGAAGGTTTGTTTATGCAGTTTTATGTTTTAAGAAAATTATTCTGTTCATTTTTATTTTTTAAATCTATTGTCTCTATATTTGTAAGTAAATTGTTTTCTTTACATCTGTATGAAATTTTGTTTTATGTAAGTCTGGCACCAAACTAGCACATGTCTCCACAGCACCTAATGTAGCACATAATTCCACAGCACCAAACTAAGCACATTACTCCACAGCACCTAATGTAGCACATAATTCCACAGCACCAAACTTAGCACATAATTCCACAGCACCAAACTAAGCACATTACTCCACAGCACCAAACTAAGCACATGACTCCACAGCACCAAACTTAGCACATAATTCCACAGCACCAAACTAAGCACATTACTCCACAGCACCAAACTTAGCACATTACTCCACAGCACCAAACTTAGTACATTACTCCACAGCACCAAACTTAGTACATAATTCCACAGCACCAAACTTAGTACATAATTCCACAGCACCAAACTTAGTACATAATTCCACAGCACCAAACTAAGCACATGTCTCCACAGCACCAAACTTAGTACATAATTCCACAGCACCAAACTAAGCACATGTCTCCACAGCACCAAACTAAGCACATGTCTCCACAGCACCAAACTAAGCACATGACTCCACAGCACCAAACTAAGCACATGACTCCACAGCACCAAACTAAGCACATGTCTCCACAGCACCTAATGTAGCACATAATTCCACAGCACACGATTCCACTTAGTACAGACTTTACCAGATATTAAATAAAAGTTTTCATTGTCTTCCCCCACAGTTCTGCGGTTTCCTGTTTGTTGTGTTTGTTGTTGAGTTAAGTGCAGGCATCGCATTGCTAGTCTACAGAGGAAAGGTAAGACTTGTCTCTTTGACTTGACAGAACTAGTAACAAGTCTTAAACATTCAAATACTTGACTGACTTTTTACTCTTAGAAATATGTAATACTGGCTGATTTTGAGTCAAGTATTCAGAATATCACACAACATTAAGTATAAAGAATTGTTAACAATTGAAGTGGAGCATCTTCATGTTAATCTTGTGTTTTAAGTCCAGGGCATTGAATAAGTAAATAAATAGAAAAAAACAAAAAAAAATAGGCAACAATGGACTAAATGAATACTCTGTTTAACAAGACAGCAATTGGTAGGCTAATAATTAAGAGGGCATAACAAATGTGACTAAAAGATGGCATATATTAAAACAATAACTTTACCCATGCTTATTTTATGTAGCTAGAGAAAGGTTTCAAAGATGGCATATATTAAAACAATAACTTTACCCATGCTTATTTTATGTAGCTAGAGAAAGGTTTCAAAGATGGCATATATTAAAACAATGACTTTACCTATGCTTATTTTATGTAGCTAGAGAAAGGTTTCAAAGATGGACTGTCTGAAGCCATTAAACGCTATGATGTCAAAGGGGAAGGGGAAATAACTCGAGCACTTGATGAACTTCAAGCAAAGGTAACCCCTCTTTAAATGCTATTTGTTAATAATGTGTAAGATAATTTTATTTTGATCACCCTTAAGCTAGTTTAAGGAACTGCTTTTTACTTTCTCGTATATACGAAGTATAGAGAAAGTCTTGTAATCGTGCAAAAAAAAAAAATCGAGATTTTTACAAATCTCGACGTTTTACACCTCACTGATACGGAAAAACATAATTTTGCAATCTTGTCTGTGTGTCTGTCTGTGTATCTGTCTGTGTGTCTGTCTGTCTGTCCGTGTGTAAACACGATAACTTGAGTACCGTTACTGCTAGGTTGATGAAATTTCATATATAAGTATTTTATCAAAATCGTAGATCCGTATCAACTTTTGAACGATTTCCGATAACCGGAAGTGGTACTTTTCCTACTTTGAATTTTTCAAAAGCCTATAACTTGAGTACTATTTCAAATAGATAAACGAAATTTCACATGTAAGTAAAAGATCTAATTCTCTACCTTCTGTTAAATTTTGAGTAATTTCTGTTGACCGGAAGTAGTAATTTACGCTACTTCCGATTTCTCAAAAAACTAATGTAAATTTTAAAAGTACTAATAATATTGCGCACTATTATGCGCTTTTTTACTTGGCGTTCACTTGGTGTGCAATTAATTAGTCTACGAGATTTTATTCTATTTTTAAAACTTTAAGTATTTAAAATGGATTAAAAATCGTGTCTATAGCCCGAGTTCCCATCCCCTATTATTTTATATAAGAATATTCGAGAAAGTTTAGGGGAGATCACTCCCGGTTTATTTTTTTTTGTTTTTAAAGAAAGCTACCAATAGTTAGCTTATTAAAATTAAGCTTGACTAATATGTTAAAGTTGACCTTGACTATGATGTTAAAGTTGACCTTGACACTTGTTAAAGTTGACCTTAACTGATATTTAAAGTTGACCATCACTGAGATGTTAAAGTTGACCTTGACTAAGATGTTAAAGTTGACATTCGCTGAGATGTTAAAGTTGACCTTGACTAATATGTTAAAGTTGACCTTGACTAAGATGTAAAAGTTGACCTTGACTAAGATGTAAAAGTTTACATTAACTGAGATATTAAAGTTGACCTTGACTAAAATGTTTTGACCTCTTTTGACCAGCTGGTGTGTTGTGGCATACAGAACTACACGGACTGGTTCAACTCTCCGTACTCGATCAAAGAGCAGCAACCCTTCTCCGTCCCCGAGTCCTGCTGTAAGGTCAAGGCCACTGAATGTCACCACATTGGGCTCAAGGGGCCAAACGCTACAACAAATGATATACACACACAGGTCAGAGTTCATTCTGTCAGCCATTCACACACACAAACACTCACACACATTTATATGTATGGTGTAGCCTGGAGGTAGGTCATCAAAAGCCTGAGGGTCTAAAGTTCGGATCCCAAGTTTAAGATTGTAGGTTGTCCCTGATTCCACCCAGCGTTGATGACAACCAGGCTCACATTGAGAAAATTATCAGTCAAGATGGCTGGGAGTAAACTGACCACAGTACACTATCATATACCGAGGTGACAAAAACATAAACTCTACTTCATCTACACTATTGAGCATTAGGTCAGGAAGGACAACTTTACTTGTACACATAGATCCCCATGTTCTGCTAATAAGATCCAGCATATTTGATCATGTTTTGTTGTCTGGTTCATATTTTCAGGGTTGCATATTTAAAAATGTTTACTGTATTTTATCCATAGGGTTGTCATAAGTTGGTTGTTGATTTCATCAATGGAAATATGGGGCCCATAGGGGGTGTGGCACTGGGTATTTCTTTCTTCCAGGTAAGACCGGCTTTAACTTTTTGATTTCATGAATGGAACTAAGGGGCGTGGTTATAAGTTTTTGTTTTCATCAATTAAAATATGTGTTTTCTGAATTCATCCTACAACTATCCATCAATTAGAATGTGTACCTTCAACCTTAAAAGTTTTTCATCAATTAAAGTATGTGTGCATTCAAAAATCACCCAAAGATTATTTTGGTATTGATTTTTTGAACACGTGTTAGATGCACTTAGATAAATATTTTTTGTTTAATAATTATTTAATTTAAAACTTCATCTTGATGAAGACCTGTTTTAATCATTTATTTATAGAGTTCTATGTTTGCTTGGTATATTCTAACTCTAAAACAATGTGTTATTCTCACACTAAAACCATGTGATATTCTCACACTAAAACCATGTGATATTCTCACACTAAAACAATGAGATATTCTCACACTAAAACCATGAGATATTCTCACACTAAAGTCATGTGCTATTCTCACACTAAAACCATGTGCTATTCTCACACTAAAACCATGTGCTATTCTCACACTAAAACCATGTGCTATTCTCACACTAAAACTATGTGCTATTCTCACACAAACCATGTGCTATTCTCACACTAAAACCATGTGCTATTCTCATACTAAAACCATGTGCTATTCTCACACTAAAACCATGTGCTATTCTCATACTAAAACTATGTATTATTCTCATACTAAAACTATGTGCTATTCTCACACTAAAACTATGTGCTATTCTCACACTAAAACTATGTGCTATTCTCACACTAAAACCATGTGCTATTCTCACACTAAAACCACATGCTGTTTCTGCAGGTTCTTGGAGCTATCCTGGCATTTTGCCTGGCCAAGTCCATCAGTCGAGCCAAGTATGAGCAAGTGGCCTAGACCCACACCCTTGAGTGGACAGTGGTCAAGCTCAGGCCACACTGGACGCACCCTAAGTTTATTTGACTTCCTTACGCTCATCTAAAACCATTGTTTAATTTTTGGCTAATTTAAAAAGTTTTTAAACCTGTGTATTTACGATGAGACAAAACTAAACGAAACTTTAGTGTTAAAATTTAATTAGTTTTAGTCTGATGCATGTCTCCACAAGAAATGAACTTTTGTTATTTATAAATAAGATTAACTATTCTCATAGGGGTTATGACAGCAAAAGTTTGCTTTGTTAGACTAAGCTTTTGATATCCTTTTGCACTTTGCTACATTTTATAGTTTTGACTTTTTTGCTTTTTTTTTGTGTCAAATGTTTTAAAAAACATTTTTTTTTAATCTCTTAGAAGTTTTCTAAGATAGTCTGCAAGTAATTGTTTCACAGTTGTTGTGCTTTAAGAATTAATTCTGTGCAATATTTTCAACATTTTCAACATACAGAACTTGTTCCAACTCACTATAGAGAACTTGTCCCTGCATTTTGTTCCTTGCTATTCTTCTTGCACTCTTATCCACATGTTGTTTCGTGTATTCTATAAGCTTATGCTTAGATTCAACAAGCTTCAAAAAGCCATTTGATTTTTAACTGCTAGCTTTCTTTATTAACTTTCCATGTTCCATTTCATCTTTTCATCCACACAAAATAGTGTTGGTTTAACCAACACCCCTCTCCCCATTTTAACTTAATTTCCAGTTTCTCTTCCATTTTATGATGTAAGTATTCCAAATATCCCTTACAATTAAATTATGTAAGCATTCCAAATTTCCCTTACAATTAAATTATGTAAGCATTTTTTATTTCAAAGTAACAGTTCAGTTATGTAAGCATTCCATTATACAAACTATATAATCATTCCACGCCCCTACAAAATTAGATTACATAATTTAACAAATCCATGTTTTTCATAGATTTTAAACTAATAGGTAAAACATTTGATTCACCACTTCTTTTTCCACTTCGTAAACATTTGATTTCCTCACAATAAATTTTTAGCGGTTATATGACATCTAACATGAATGATGTTCTTAGCTGTTATAGGACATCTGACAAAGCGGTTACATGACATCTAACAAGCTTGCTGTCTTAGATGCATGACATTCATTACCTATGATTCTGTTCACGATGTCACACATGCAGTTTATTATTCTGTGATAACCTTCAGTATTTTGTAGTATTAATCCCAATTTTTCGACTCCAAGTTGAACAATTTTCTCTAAAAACAGTGCTTCAGCTGTAAAATTTTTTTTTTTCGTAAATGTTTACCAACGTAAGGGGTTGGCTGAATCCTGCATTGTTATATTCAGTTACCTACTCAGTTTCAGCTGTGATAGCAGCTCCAGTGTCTGTTGATTACTCAAAGCACATTGTCTAAAATTGTTAACTAAAATGTCTAAAATCGTTAACTCAAAATGTCTAAAATCGTTAACTCAAAATATCTAAAACTGTTAACTCAAAATGTCTAAAACTGTTAACTCAAAATGTCTAAAATCGTTAACTCAAAATGTCTAAAATCGTTAACTCAAAATATCTAAAACTGTTAACTCAAAATATCTAAAACTGTTAACTCAAAATATCTAAAACTGTTAACTCAAAATATCTAAAACTGTTAACTCAAAATGTCTAAAATTGTTAACTAAAATGTCTTAAATCTGATTATCTACGATACATCAAAATGTCAAATAAACAACAACATAAATGTCACAATTTTGTGAGATTTAAAACATTTTATTGGTGATACGTGTGTATTGGTGACACGTGTATCACCACCTTAACTCAGCACAACCCGTGTAACTATTTTTTTCTCTGCCACCCATGCTCACCCCTGTCTTGCTGCCTGATACCCAATTCTTTCTCATTTAATGCTTGGCCGTGTGCTCTTGTCTCCGCTTGGCCATGTGCTGTCTCCGTTGGGCCATGTGCTACTGTTTTCATTTTTTTTTTAATTTGAAAAATTAAAGCATTGACCCGTTCTAATCTAAAAAAACCTGGCCAGTTAAAAGCTGACCAATCACTACACCCACAAGTTGAAACCTAACCAATCAAAACACTGCTGGTTTTTAACTCACCAATCAAAACACAGACAACATAAAAACTGACCAATCAAATCATCTATCACTAAAGACGCCTAAAATTATAAATACTAACAAAAATAACCACTACATGTTACGTATACATACAACATTTTTGTGTGTGCTGTAACATTTATTGTAAAGGGTATATTTTTTTTTTGTAATCTTTACATGTCACCAGTGACAATAACCCATCCAGTCCACAGCACTAACAACATTTATAGCACCAGAGTATTAAAAATCCTACTTAAGTGAATCTCAAAACAATCTAGTATTATTAAATATTATATTACCTATCCACTGTGCAATTTTTTTTACATCATATTTGCTTTTTGGTCTTTTATTAAATTGACCATTTGGTATCTTAAATACAGGGTGTGATTTCTTGTAGTATGTGTCTGTTATTTTTTACTAGGTATTTAAGTAAAATGTCCAGCATTTATACCAAGTCAATGATATTTTAATTTTTTTTGTGTTTACTGTTAACATGTTCATAAACCAAATCAAATTTTAACCTACTTAAATGCTATTTTTTCTGGCCATTGTGTTTTTAATTAAATTCGTTCTAGTTTGCCAAATTGTGTTAGTGCAGCCAAAATATTTTCCACATATTGAAGTTTATTTAAATTATTTTTTCTAAAAATATGTGATATTCTTTAACTTAAGACTTGTATGTATATTCAAATGCTAATTAATTCAAATTTTATTTGTTACCAAAAATGTGATTTTTATTCTGACTAAGCTGTGGGTTGTTATTTAAAGGTTAATTGTTTTTTTTTTTAAACTGATTTCTAAAAATTAAAGCATTAATTGTTTTTTACTTCTTCAGATAATTTTTTAACCCTGTGTAAGGTTATAAATACATTTTTGTTAACATTTGATATTCTGTGTTTAAAAACAATTTTTTTTTATCATTGTTCTTAATGTGCAACTAAAAAATGTAACTCCACACTTAAAGGAACTCTAGTCAAAGTTTTTAAACAACTAACATTTGTATACAGAAACTCAAATGATTCACACTTCTATGATCTGTGACTATGTACCTTAAACTTGTAACATAATTTTTTCTCCTTTTACTTTAGCTACTGCATGACTTAAATGTTTACATTTTTCTTGTGTGCTTAATTTCAAATCTCATGACATGAATTCTTGTGAAAATCAAAACTTAAAATACCATACATCATTGAGGGTAATGTTTTTAAAATCTTTATTTAAAAAATATGTTTGTTTCAAATAATGTTTTATTTAAGATGACATGTCCTTGGCTTACTTCTCATGAAAACTGGGGTTTTATATGTTACGTAAACTGAGTTAATGGGGGTTAATGGTCAGTTTAAAACTGGGAGTTTATATGTTATAGGTGGGTTATTGATCAGTCTAAAACTGGGGGTTTTATGTGGGGGTTAATGGTCAGTCTAAAACTGGGGGTTTTATATGTTATAGGTGGGTTATTGGTCAATCTAAAACTGGTTTTGTATGTTATATGGGGTTATTGGTTACACGCTACATATTCTGTGGGTTAATGCTCAGACTAAACAATCAGATACTGGGATTTTATTATCACTGAAAATGGAGGGGGGGGATTTAACATTTCACACAAGGATGAAAGATTTACAATCAATAGGAAATTGGGGAAAGATGTTTTAAATTTTAAAAACCCTAGATTTAAAAAAACAATGAGTTTACTACAATTAAGGGTAGATTGACAAGGCTAAAAATATGACCAGTATGGCATACCTAAACGTGTGGGGGGGGGGGGGGGGGGGGTTGTTATGGTGGTTCTTGTTTCACCAGTGAAGAAGCCAATGATTTCTTTAATTTTCAATGGACTTGCTACCAGCACAAGATGTAACTATGTTGTCATGCGGCTGTTGTCTTGTACCCCCAAACTTTAACTTTTTTTTCTGCCAACTTTTTTTTAGTGTGCAATAAAATCTTCAGTCCAGGAAAATCTAGACCGTTGTTGCTGATTTTAACTTGTACCTGTTTTTACTTGTGCAGTGTTGTATGATTTCCATCAGGGTGGTCGAATCGGTAAAGCTCATGGTTGCCATTTGGAAAAATCTCGAGTTCGAACCCTTGGGCAAATGAAGCTCGATAGCTGGGGAGAGCAACTCTTCTTGGAGTAGCGACTCCAATATCAAACTTAGTTGTACAAAGGCTATGGAAGCCAACACAAAAAGAAAAGCAGGCTGAAATCAGAGTCAACCAGTTGGCATGTAGTACTTAAGAACGAAGATTTTTAAAAAATGGTATAAAAGAAAGCCAGAATTTGAACTATAACATTAGACCAAGCCTGTGAAAAGTAACTGACTGAGAAGAGCATTGTCGTTCCATACATTTGTCTCGAAGAGCACTTGTCATTCAATACATTAGTTTAAAAGAGCATTTGTCATTCAATACATTAGTTTAAAAGAGCACTTGTCATTCAATACATTAGTCTAAAAGAGCACTTGTCATTCAATACATTTGTCTAGAAGAGCATTTGTCATTCTATCGAGTGCTTGAAATAAAACTATTCGTGATAGCTTTTACCAGACATTTGACAGAATTCAGAAATTTCTCACTTTGCCGGTAACAAGTAATAGTGAACTACAAGAAAATAAACCAAGATGACAGGAAGCACTTACACTGGGACGCTACAACAAGAAAGATAATTTGTTTAAATGACCCGTACTTATCCATCAAGCATGCACTGTAATGCACATCACAATACTGCATATCACAATGCTGTTATCACAACGGCACTTTCCGTTCAATTCACAACGTGTTATACGAGATTCAAGTCAGGAAACCAATTACGTTGTCTAAAGCACTAAGCCTTAGCCATAGAACCACAACCAGCCAATCAAAGTGTTGGCCAGCTGTATACTTGATATAGACAGTACAGTACAGTGATGGTCAACTGTATATTTGAGAGAGTACGGTACAGTACAGTGATGGTTTTGCTATACATTTGAGATAGACGTACAGCCCTATCTCAGGAACTACAACCCACTAAAATCGACGTTAGCCAGCAACGATTGTGTTTCAGCTTGAGAATAACGTCTTCGATGCGCTGCTCCATCGCCAGTAGGGGTGGGGAGGGGAGGGAGTAGACCGGCTCCTGGCCCTTGGCTCATTGACTCGGTTCCGTGAGGTTAATGATAATTAGAAGCTCCGGGGTGAGGCTTTGCTGTTTACGTAATCAATATCTGCTATATCAACACAAAAAGTTCTGTTCTAACCTAACAAGGTGGTAATTATTTTAATTGTTAAATAATTGAACACGTTCATTATATACAAGTATTCACTACAATCGTGTTGGGAGTCGGGGGGGGGGGGGGGGGGGGTGAATGACGCAGAAACACATCTTCCTGTGAAAAACTGTAATTACCTAATTAAAAAAAGACAAATGAAGTGTTGTTGACTTGTGCAGGGTATAGATTCAAAGATAATAACTGGAATTATCTAACTATAATACGTATTATTCGATAATGCTAAGGTTATAGATTTCAAAATAATTTTATTTTTATCAATGTATATATTGTGTATAAAAATACATGAACACTTGGAATTTTTCTTTGTTCCGTGGCTTTTCAAAATTCAAGGTATAACTTTGCTGTTGCTAATTTTTGCCCATCTTTCTTTACCAGTAGAGCGTTAAACGAGATTAAAATATAAATAATAATCATTAAAAAAGTTAAAAAAAAAACCCACGTTTTCTGATTGAACTAAAAAGTAGAAAATAAATGCTATACATCACAATAATGCAAGCGATCACTCTACTATAAGCGATGAAAAACGTGGGGCGCCGAAGTAAAAGTTATATTACTATTGATTCGATAATACTATTCACTTTTATTAGGGAGCTTGTAGAGAGTCAACATTATTAGAACTGTAAGAAAATCACGGCGCCCCACGTTTTTGATCGCTTATAGTAGAGTGATCGCTTGCATTATTGTGATGTATAGCATTTATTTTCTACTTTTTAGTTCAATCAGAAAACGTGGGTTTTTTAAAACTTTTTTAATGATTATTATTTTCTACTTTTTAGTCTTTGTCTGTTTGTTTGCATTAAAATCTTGCTATCGATTTTATCTTTTCACTTTTTTTTTGGGTAAACGAAGACAACTCGTAAAAAGACAACTCGTAAAAAACACGTTGTGTGAATACGTTACTGACTAGAACACATAGATTTGAACCCGTGTCGAGTGGGATAGCAATCGTGTGCCCAACCACTCGACCATATCGTCTCCCCCATACTGGCCACCAGTTGTTACGGTTGTTTGTACACAAACACCGCGTGAACACTACTCAGTAAGCAAAGAGGGAGAGTACCGAACCTTGTTTTCATCAAATTACAGTTACTGGGTGATGTCCCTTTTTCCCCACGTTTTTACTACAATTATATAGCGGTCTAAAATGCTCAATAAAATGTTTCCATGGATCAATTTAATAATAATAACAATTGAATATTCTATTGTCATCCAAAACAAAGCTTCCCTGAAACGCGCTAGCTAACTGGGAAGTGCCAGAAATTTCGATCGCAAGATTTGATCGGAAAAACAGAGACGAAAGCAAGTTAAAGAAAACGTGGGAAATACTTAGCATGGATCTGTGAGGGTCAGACAATTCCTTTTTCACGACGACATAATCTGCAATTGTTCCTAGAGAGAAGCTCGTCATGAACGTCACAAAGTTCGGCCCGTTGGTCAGTAGACCGGATGCGCTGGTCAGCTACGAGGTCAGGGAGAAGGTCGAGACCTTCAACGTCATGTTCGGGGAGGTGGTCGGCTTGTTAGGGATCATCGCCAACGTCATCAACATTGTCGTCTTCTCGAAAAACGGCTTCGACGACACGGTGAACATCAGCCTGACGGCTCTGGCGGCCGGCGACATCGGCGCCCTTGTCACGCTCCAGTGCTTCAACGTCATCGTCAACCCCTGGTTCCTGGCGCTGGACCTGCCCTTCCTGGCGCTGGAGATCCAGAGCCTGGTCGCTGGCTACCCCCACAACTATTTTGTCAAGGTGACGGGTTTCATCACGGCCTTCGTGGCGTTCGAGCGTTGCCTGTGCGTGTACACGCCACTCAAAGTCCGGCAGATCGTCACCAAAAAACTGGCCATTGCCTTCAACGTCTGCGTCTTTTTCGTCATCGCTCTGACCATGTTTCCGGTGTACTACACGGCGTACTACGACTGGAAATTTGTTCCTACCCTAAACAAAACGGTGCTAGGGATATTTTATACTAAAAATTTAAACGAGCTACTGGGGCCTTCATTGTTTATCACGAACTCCGTTGTACCGCTTATAGCTTTTGGTGTTATCATATTATGCAACATCGTTATAGGATTTAAACTGAAGAGTAAAGCAATATGGCGGAAAAAGGCCTCTAGCTCTGTAGCGGAAATAACCTTAAAAGAAAAGAGGGTTGTCGTCATGATTGTCACGGTGTCTATAATCTTCATCGTCTGCTTCATCCCGTCGTCTGCGCTGTTGTCAGCGCGCGCCGTGGTGCCAGAGTTGAGCATTGGGGGCGTGTACGCCAACATCAACTGGATCGTGGCCACGACAGCCTTGGAGATGGAGACGGTCAACTCCAGCATCACAGTCGTTGTCTACTATCGCATGAGTACCAAGTACCGGGAAACCCTGCGCGCTCTATTCCGGTGGGACGCAAAAAGCGCAGGGAAACAAACAAAAAATGCTGCACTAGATACAATTTAATCTAGACGATCTCAGTGACTTATAAAGTCTTTAGTGACGAGCCAACGAACCAGAAGATTTCTGTGATTTATAAGGATTTCAGAGACGATTGATTGACTGACTGATTGACTGATTGACAGATTAACTTCTTGGTAGATTTTGTTATCAAAAGTTTAATATTTTACTGCAACGGTTACATTTAATCAAAATAGTTCAATAATCTTCTGCACTGCTAAATGAAATAAATAGCAGGCCACACAAAACATAGACTACACACTACCAATACTGATATTTGTCTGAGCAACTCTGAGCCTGAGCTTGGCTAATTTTTCTTTCTCCGATCTGTAATGGGAACTCCCCCTAGTCAGTGTGCCGCGCACGTCTTTAATAGTTAGTGACTGTCTTTTAGGATTTTCTTTTTTACTTTCTCGTATATACGAAGTATAGAGAAAGTATTGTAATCGTGCACAAACATCACTTGAAATTTTAACAATTTTCACCGTATTACACCTCAGTCCTTCATCACATCCGAAGTATAGAGGACTTATTTTAATCGGGCAAAAATTATCAATCCAGATTTATCAAAATTAAGAGGATTTATGTGTAATCCAGTCTGAAAAACTGGACTTTTCAATTCTGTCCGTATGTCTGTGTGTCTGTGTGTGTGTCTGTGTGTGTGTGTAAACACGATAACTTGAGTACCGTTACAGCTAGGTTGATGAAATTTCATATATAAGTATTTTATCAAAATCGTGGATCCGTATCAACTTTTGAGCGATTTCCGATAACCGGAAGTGGTACTTTTTCTACTTTGAATTTTTCAAAAGCCTATAACTTGAGTACTATTTCAGATAGATAAATGAAATTTTACACGTAAGTAAAAGATCTAATTCTCTACCTTCTGACAAATTTTGAGTAATTTCCGTTGACCGGAAGTAGTAATTTACGCTACTTCCGATTTCTCAAAAAACTAATGTAAATTTTAAAAGTACTAATAATATTGCGTACTATTATGCGCTTTTTTATTTGGCGTTCACTTGGTGTGCAATTAATTTGTCTACGAGATTTTATTCTATTTTAAAAACTTTAAGTATTTAAAATGGATTAAAAATCATGTCTATAGCCCGAGTTCCCATCCCCTGTTATTTTATATAAGAATATTCGAGAAAGTTTTGGGGAGATCACTCCCGGTTTATTTAATTTAAAAATCACTAGTGGTGGCTCATAGTGTCAAGGACGCTTCTATACGTTTTTCTGTCTATACTAGGTTATTAATTATAATAATATGTAACTTGTATAAACGACTAATTCCTTATAATTCGACTGCAAAAGGAGATATCATTGCGTTGTCGACAGATATAACCATTATTGCAAAGAAATGGACGATTAGAAATGGGCACAAATTGAATTGCATGATTTGACCCACACACTGACAAAAAGACAAGAAGACAGACATTGTGACCTATGTAACAGCAATTGCATGATTTGACCCACACACTAACCCAAAAGACAAGAAGACAGACATTGTGACCTATGTAACAGCAATTGCATGATTTGACCCACACACTAACCCAAAAGACAAGAAGACAGACATTGTGACCTAAGTAACAGCAATTGCATGATTTGACCCACACACTAACAAA